TGCCTTTTACTTAGGTTAAAACTTTATTTTTGTAACGCATTTGCATAATAGAATCTCATACCTCGTAGAATTTTGGTAAAATTTATATTATTATTTGTAAATAAAATAGTGTTCATAATTTTCCTAAAGTATCGACACTTTCCCTCAAATTTTAAGCTAGTTTTGCCCCATTTTTTCACCGTGCACCTGCAAAGACAGGAGGCATATGGAAATTCGGTGAGCGGGGAAATGGTAAGTGGGAAATGGGAAATGGGAAAAGGGAAAAGACAGCACACACGTGCTAAGCCCGAGTCAAGGGGAATCGATTAAATTTCTTTTAATGCCCAACCATAAATTTCTCTCTCAAGCTCCCTTTTCCATTGTCAACGACCTTTCAGCGAACGCAAAATGCAAAAGGAAGAGCAGCCAAGGAACAGAAAGAGCAACAGAAACTGGAACACAAACACAAACAAAAACAGAAACCGAAACAGAAACAGAGCCCCGAAAAAAAGATAAAATAAAATAAAATAAAAATAAGAATAAAGCAAAAATTATGTCTAACATCACATTGCAGAGTTCAGCTGATTCTTTATCAGCCTTAAGTGCCCGGGATCCATCTACCCCAGCCCCACTGATTATGTATGCCATTTGTTGTGTGCGAGTATGGGCAAATAGCAGGACTAAAAGTAACTTCATGGCCACGGAAGTCCTTTCCCATATATGTACACTAAATGCAACCCTTGTCAATCACAGGATAAGAAATCATTTGCGACACCATAGACGATCGGAAGATAAGTCTATTATGTTTTATGTGTGAGTTAATTAAAGTTTTCAGTGCCTTGTCATTTATTGGTAATTAAATATACCAATTAAATAGGGCTGTTGACAATAAATTAATGTATTGATATTTTTAAGAGAAATCTATACACTTATCTATAAAGTCTGGGAAACATAATAAATAATCTCAAAAAAATATATATATCATTTTAATATTTTTTAAAACAGAAAAGACCGTTTATATAATATTTAAAAAATACTACATATTTTACAATTTAATCTGTTTAACATATATATTTCTCTCTCTTTAATTCAGATTATTAAATTCAAGCCATAAATTTGATTGAACAGCTATCTAGACACAATAAAATTGGGTTTATTTCGAGAAGACATTTGGATTATATGTGTTTATCATGAGCTGTAAAAGAATAATCCCATAATAAGCCGATAAATATCTCATGGAAACGAATCATTTGATTAGACAGAGAAATCCACCACAAAAGTCACCTTGCCTTAATAAACTTTTGTTTGTTTCAAGAAGAGATTAGAGTGCTCACTTCAGGCCAAGACTTAGTTCACACCTTCCCTTCCACCCACCCAAAAATCTCTTGGCTGAAAGATGTCAATTGTTGCAGGGTATCAGTCACTTCGACTCATCCTGCCACCACATAACGCTTCGCTGGCGAAATGAGAGATTTGCGAAGAGATTTACGCGCTACACCGAAATGAACTTTTGTGTGTAAATTTATGTGCACTTGCTGGGCTGGAGCTTATGAAATGGAAGGAGGAGGAGGAGCCCCAGCTCGAGCTAAGTAACTAACGCCATTAGCCGCTTAGTTTTTGGCTTATTGGCCCTCAGGACAACCGCCAGCCCCCAAAAACATTCGGAGCTATCTCTATCTCTATCTCTATCTCTAGCTATCTAGGGATTTTTATTGCTGCATTCCTCGGAACAACGTCAAAACATCACAGAAATCATCGCTTTAGTCGGCTTTTCTTGCGCCGAAGGCGGATTGGTGTTTCTCCAGACAGGATGTGGATGTGGTTGGGTCCAGCATTGATTTTTGCAGGTAAAATCAGGGACAAAAGCGGAGATTTGAGGCAGAGATTAAGTGCGGAATGTGCCCGTAAATAGAAATAAAACGCTGCACTTTACTCTGCGCAGGAATGCGGAATAGCTTACCAAACAAAAAAAAATGTAGTCCACTTTTCATCTATTTGTACACCCATTCGCCCGCCGAAAGGCAAACTCCCACCGAAATGTGATTACATTTGGCACATGAATATTCAATGGAATCGTATGGCATTATTCTCCGGCAAATAAAAGTTAAAATTGTTCTTGTTTTGCCCCCAAAATAAACTGAAAGTCAATGGGCCTTAAAATGTAGGCTTTTATGGCTGCCGACCATAAAGTTTATTCTATGCACCTGATGAGCAAGAAATTGGATGAATATATATATATGATCTATATAATCCCTCTCTCCACTTCTTATTTATTAATTAAAGCCAGCCTAAAGATGATTTGCTAGACGAGTGGGCGGCTCTATAAATACGTCTTGGCCAGGTCAGAATGCGAATGTATGTTGGCCACAAATACCTATATACAGAGTCGCAAAGGCAAATAAGCGGCCAATAAAAATATTATTAATACGCCAACGAAAACACACACACACACACATAAGCACTGTCTTTTTGCACAGAGAAAAACGGCTTATAATTATTATTTTACTTTGATACCACTTAACAGAATTGAACGTTTAAACGCATTAACGATGCTCCCCATCATTATACCAATGAGATATAATTTATTTTTCTCTGTGTGTCCTCCTTATCGCCGTTGTTGTTGTAGCACCATCACCATCATTCAGGCTGATGGAAACGGAATTGGAAATGGCCTGGGAAATGGGGCAAAGGCGAAGGGAAATTAGCAGCAGCGCACATCAGCCATCAAGAGCAGTTGGGTGTGTTTTAGCCATAAATTTATTAACTTAGTGTCACATTTATAGCCACTCTGCCACTCTGCCAACCGCCAACACCGCAAATAGCCGCATCAACAAGAACAACGATGGATTCATTGGTAAATGACGTCTTTAAAGTCTTTTTTTCAACAATCGTTGACCAAATTCTAATTGATGAGCCATTTGTATAGGAATTCCAACGGCGCAAAAAAAAAAACAAAATTTAGTGGGTCCTTAAATTGCTGAAATAGAATCAATGAACACCGAAATAGGCATTGTGTGTTTTCATTTGGGCAGCAAACATATTTGATAATTTAGAGTAGCTGAATATGTCACTCGGAAATTTAATTAAGGCTAATTAATCATTCAAGCATTATTGAGTAATACAATTTTGGCATAATCAATAATAAGATGTGTATTAAGTAATTGAAATCAAAGTAGAATAAAACATTAAATGCGTATTAATTTTGGCGCAGTCCTTTCAGTTTCAATAGTTCATAACTTAAAATTAATAATTTCAAATCATACAAAGCAAAACCATACTGAAACGTATTTCAATAAATTTAGAACAAGTAATGTGTAATTTTCTTCATTAAATCTGAAAAGCATAAAAACTTTAAGTCGAATCTAAAAAATTAATTCGTTATAAATATTTCAGTCAAGAATGGCGCAGGACTCTCCTATTTTGAATTGATTCAAACTTAAAATTCATATTTAATATTAAACAGTATAAAAGAATATTAAAACGTATTTAGTAAAATATTGATCAAAGAGTTAATTATTTCTTAAATAAACATTAAATCTGAAAAGCACAAAAACTTCAAGACGAATTGAAATTTGTATTAAATATTAGCTCGTTTTGACATAAATATGTCTGTTAGTAATATTTCACTTAAGAATATTTAATGACTTTAAAAATTACTAAGTTCACCATTTTTTTAAAACGACTCTAAGCACTTTTGATATCGTAGGTTGGTTCAAATATTAAAGTAAAAATTTGATTTTATATATCCTCCTTGGGTTAATATAAAAATCTGAGTTTATTTTTCACTGAGGATTCTTTCGAAGTGGCTTCCTTTCTCAGGCATTTCTCTACGGATATATCCTAACACAGGTACTTAAGATAATTCCGAAATCCAGGGACCACAATGCCATTTCTTGGCTCATTAGTCAACGTGGCTTTGCCGTACCGCCCTTATTGGCGACTGGAATCGGTTGTCCGGGGGCCATGCACCTGTTGTGTGGTCCGTGGGCGCTTAAGTTGGCTCTGTTCGATCGGATCAGGAGTCGTTATCGCCCCCCGCCGCCCAACAGATGTGCCGCCGGAATCAATTTCCCACCGTCATTTGTACATTGTAGTGGGTGGGTGCGATAAACAACAGTTACTAACCAACAGATAAGCACACACACACACACACAAACACACACAGAGATTGAGATCGACTTACATTTACGATTGCAACTGTCGGTGGAATTGGCCTTTTGGGTCAGGCCGCCGTAAACATGGAGTGCACTCAAAAAAAAAACAAACAAAAAAAGTTAATAAATAAGCACGACGCGAAACCGGACTTTTTGGGGAGCTGTTCGGAAATCGTTCAAAATTTAACGGATTCGAGACTGTCTATGGTATGTGTGTCCAAAATATGTCCATATGTGTTCTTATATGGATCCACCTCCACCTTTTGAGCAGGCTAACCGACAGCTTCGCAGTCTCGCGACCAACTGAAGCCCGAGGAGTCCTGGCAGCGGCATTTAAGCAGGTCCCACATCGCCGCCCCAGGAGTGTGGCCTTGGGGGGGGATGGGGGGATGGTGGGTTGGGCGGGGGGGATTGAATATTGAGGTTGCTGTTCGCTCGGTCAGTGGGTGTTTGGGTGGCGTGGTGGTCGCAGTAAGCCGGCAGCACTTTGTAAAGGTTTCCAACAGCTGTTTTGGGGAAAGCTCAGTAAGCAGCTTTCTCTCAGCTTTTTCCGTTCGACAGCTGGCAATGCTCCAAACAACAAGCTTTTCTGCGCTCTCATCTGTTTACGTACGAGCGTGGGAGGCGCAGACAGCGATAGTTTGACAGTTGCCCCCAAAAACCAGGGATGCCATAAACCACAGACGAATTGGGGATAGAAGCTAAAGTACCCCTTAGTTAAATATATTACATTTTTAAGAAGGGTTTGTTATAAGTTTGTTTGCTTTATGAAAATGGAAATTTATCGGATTGGAAATCCCCTATCTTGGACCAAAATTTGCTGCAAGTCGAAATACCCCTGAAATTGCGAAACACTCAGAACGAATATCCGTTCAAACTAAATTTATTGCAGATCAAATGACTCTTCGCCCATCGCCCATCGTCCATCGTCCATCACACCCGGTTGGTCGGCCACACAATGCCCTCGATATAGTCGAGGAAGGACGTGACCCGCGTGTAGAGGCCCGGTGTCTTGGTGGCGCAGCCGAAGCCCGAGGATATGACGGCCAGGATCGAGTAGACGCCGTCCACCTCGTTCGTCTCCAGGATGAGCGGACCACCGGAGTCGCCCTGGCAAGCGTCCTTCTGCTGCTTCTTGTCCGCCGCACACAGCAGCGAGTCGATCACGCCCTGCTTCAAGGCCCTCATGGCACTCGGCTGCTCCCCGAAGGACGCGTTGCACTTCTCCACGGACACCAGGTCCAGACTGGCCCGCAACAGGATCTTCGACCTGGCGCGATCTGTGAAAAATAGTATTGTGTGATCCATTAATTACTAAATGCAAAGGTTATCCTCTACACTGATACTAGAAATGCAATAGTACAAATAAACATCTAGCTATTGAAATCCAAGTATGTATATTGCATATTTAAATGATATAAAAACCATTAATATTAAATACATTGCATACTAAACTGAATGAATTCGAATATTTAAAAAAATGTGGAAAACATGGGATCTAAATGGGTCCCATTTATAACATTATATTTAGATTTATATGCATATTTGTAGTAATAATAAATATCTGGCAATGAAATTCCAAATTTGTATATTGCATATTTAAATAAAATAAAAACTCATCATAATATAAAATTAATTAAATATATTTAATATATTTTGCATGATTTTATATTTAAATATTTGATTTAATGCGAAAAATATTGGTTTTAAAATGTGTCTTTTAGATTTTATTTGCATTACATTTAAATTTAATACGGTTTCACTAATAGAAAAAATAGAATATCAAAAATAAATATCTTGCTATTGAAATACAAATTTCCTATTGTTCATATGTTTGATATTAAAAATACTTAAAAACCGCAATCGATGAAATGCTTTGATTTTCAAAGTTTAATCAGTGTACCATTGGCAGAGTTAATTCATCACTTACTTGTCACATTCATAACACCCCAACCGGCCACGAATATTTTCGAGTCCAAGGGCGGATTCTCTGGATCCGTGTAGAGGCAGGCGGGTCGGATGTTGTCCGACTCAATGGCATCCTCGGCCAGCTCCAGAATGGCAATATCGTTGTACTTGCTGCTGCTCGAATAGTTCGGATGAATGTGGATATCAATCTGTTGGTAAAAAGAGGATTAAGCTGAGAACTGGGAACATCTTCGATCCTTTAAACACCCACCACATTGATGTCCTGGAAGCCAGCGGCGGGATTCTCAATGGCCACCGCACCCAAGCGGACGAAGGTCGGCGTCGTGCTGTCACTATTCACGCAATGGGCGGCGGTCAGGACGAAGCGACTGGCGATGAGCGATCCGCCACAGCGGAAGTCCACTGCTCCGAAGGTGGTGTATGCGATGGCCGCCATGTGAGGGTAGACCCCAGGATCCACGGGCAGACCGCCCAGGATGTGAACCGTTATCGGCCTCTCTCCGGACCGGATCTTTGTACAGGCTGAAACAAGATATATTGTATAATTTAAGATATAAGTTGCATTTAATGGACCAAAACACTATACTCAAAGTAAAATGTATTGACAGTATGGATTTATTACTAAAAAATATAAAGTCTGTATTTATTTTATTTAAGTTTCAATTGTTCCTTCTGTGGTGTTTTTTATAGTAAATGTTTTAATTGTAATAGTTTCTGAATTATTAAGTTTATACGCATCTTATGTTTTTATAAAGTTCTTCATAATCAATAGTTTCTAATGTAATAATAATATTTTCTCGCAATAAGAACTTTCATTATAAAAAAAAACAATAAGTTTGAACTATTTTCAAAATTAAATTTATAAATTTATTAAAATGTATTATATTATTTTTAATATTAAAAAAAATCGTGTATTTCACGACTTTTAAAAATTACTTTAATCGAAAAGCGTATAAAAAAACTGAAACCACAGAAAGTTCTAAAGAAATCTGTTTCGGATTAAAATCGTCACTGCTGAAGAATTCGCGGTCCCATTAAGGATCTGTTTAACAATCTTGTCTAAGAAATAGACCCACCTGCCACCGCTGGTCGCTCCTTGTCCGGCACATTGACCCTGGTGCTGGGCGTCGTCGTCGACGGACTGCGTGGGACAGAGAAAGAGAAAAAAGGAGGAGCGGTTAGTGGGGTTTGCCAGCGATGGATTCCGCCTGAGACAGAGACTGCATGCGGCTCCCTGGCTGAGGCCAACTGATGTCCATGCCGAAAGTAAGCTCAGACAAACCGCGACTCGGCTGGGCCAAAGTCCAGATCATTGCTGGGCTCCTTCCAGGGTTCCGGTTGGGTCACCTCCTCCTTGGACTCCTTCGGCTCCTTGGGTTCTTTGGTATCCCTGTCCTGGCCCCGAAATCGAAATGGCTCGAAGGGATCCATCACTTTGGTGGGCATGGGCGTGGGTGGTGGAGGCGATGTTGCTGGATGTGGCACTTCCCTTGCCGGCTCTATCTGCATTCCCTGCTGACGCAGTCGATCGTTGACCAAGTGTATGAGATTGCTATTGTTGGGACTGGGACTGGGATTCTTGGGCTTGTTGGGTCGCGAACGGGGCGTGGTCAGTGGTCGGTTTACTATCCGTGGCTCGCGATTTTCCCACCCCCATTGCGGCTCCATCCAAGATCTCTGCGTGGTTGTTGTGGGTGAAGTCTTTGGAGGAGCTATGCCCCAAGCGCCTACATTCTGGATGGGCATCTTCATGGCCTCGTGGGTAGGTCTACCCAAGAACTCTTTGGTGGGTCTACTCATGGACTCATGGGTGGGTCTATTCAAGGACTCCTGAGTGGGTCTTCTCACAGAGTCTTGGCTTGAGGGCAATTTGAGGGACTCGTGGGTTCGCTGCGGCTTGAAAGTGGTTGTGCTGAGCAGCTTGTTGAAGTCGAAGAAGTTCTGGTTTTCGTCCAGTTGAGATTCCCGTTTCTTTGTTCTTTCGGTGGTTGTTGAGGGCAATGGTAATGGTTCTGGTTGTGGCTGTGGTTCCGGTTCCACTTGTGGTTGTGGTTGAGTTTGAGGTAACCTGCTGCGCTCGGAGCTCGTGGCAAGGACTTGCACATCGGAAGCTCGGCTGTGGGTGGTGAAAGGGGTTAGTCTGGCGGGGATCGCCGGAAAGCGGCTGGGCATGCAACATCGGCGGGCACAAAGCGCAGGCGGGACACACAAAGGCACACAAGGACACAGACAGGGGGCAAGCGGGACGAGAACACGAGAACACGAGAACACGAGACACTCGGCTTACTCAGTGGGGCAGCAGGCGGCGATGGGGCAGCAGATGATCTCCTCGCGTGCCCCGAATCCGCAACTCGGCACCTGGCTGGTGGACAGGGCGCCCTGCCTGAGGTATCCCTCGATGTTGTTGCAGGCTGAGGAGGCCCGGCAAATGCCCGGAATGTCAGCCTTCACCTGGCATGGATCACCCTCTGCAACGAGAAGATCGAGGCTGATGGATTTGGTGCACAGTGCCACAGGGCCACCATCCATACATACCATCCGCAACTGTTAGCTGCACCAAAGTGGCGATCGTCAGGAGACGCAGTGGAAAGTACCTGCTCGCCGAGACCATCTTCAGTCAGCTGAAATTCCCAAGAGACATTAGTGAATCCATATTAGCCTTATCGTCCCGAATCGAACTGGAAAAACATTTCTGTTGCAGCTGCAGGGAAAGCCCTCAAAAAAAAGTACGGAATCTGTTTCTTTCATCGACTCGCTCGCCTTTCAGCTGATTAAACTGAACCTGCTGCCATTGACCCACTTAAGATTTGTATAATGGGTAAACAAATGTGTTCTATACACTTGGTAGAACTCGCTCCAGACCCTAACCGTTTTTAAATGTCTATCTCTTGATGGTAAGCCAGCGGAAAGTTATTGTTGACTGATTACGAGAATTTCACCAGGTGAGATCAAATGATTCACCCGGGGGCCTGCCGTCTATCTGTGTTTCGCTGCGATTTTACAACCGGCTAAAGACGTCTGTGTCGTCCGATATCGAAACTCTTTCGGTAATTTAAAGTTGACTTGTCACTGATAAGAAAGGAACACCTAACAATTAGGGTTTTTAATTGACAGGTTCTTAATCTGTCTGGAACTCTGCTTAGGTGTTTTTTTATAGCACATAAAACCTAAAACAAGCTGCTCAACAATCAATGCAAAATTTAATGACATCACTTTACAAAGTATAGATTTCCAAATAACAAAACATTGTAAAAGGTAAATCATTGATAATTAGCTTCCGGCCATCTGGCGTAGTTTTCCCTTTGTAAACATGACAAAAACTGAAGTGGAGCATGCGAAATGAGTAGCCCCACCCACTGTTCACAATCCACAAACCGCCTTATCGAACGCACCTTTGACACGACCTTTTTTCGGTCTTTGATAAGGAAATATACGTATCCGTATACGTATCGATGATTTGTATTGAGTGCGTCGAGAGCACTTTGAATGCGGTGGCAATCAGGCACAAAACAACACAGCACAACACAGCTCAACAAAATAAAATAATATCAAATAAAGCAAAAGTACCGAGCGAATCACAAATAAAAAATAAAAAAAAAAACACCGCTAAAAAGCACACCAGCAGAGCCACTAAAGCTGAAAACCGGTGGCTATCGCTGGGCGAAAACAAAACAAAAACACGAATGGGCTGGCTTTCGGTGGCTGCCTGTTTCTGACCGCTCAGCAACGCTTCGCCCAAGCAACTGAAGCTGAGCTTGGACTTGGACTGGAGCTGGAACGGCGGACAAGAAGCGCCGGACCCGCACCGGCTGCTGATAGCACCCAGAGCCGCTCCTCTCCCGCTGGACGGCGAACCGGTTTTCCCATCCAGCACTTTCAGCACTTTCAGCTCTGCCAGCACTTGGCAGATTCGCGGAATGGCAGAACGATCCACAGCGCACAGAGGCCAGCACACAACACACAAAGCACAAAGGCGGCCTGTAATTAGCATTACCAAGCAAAAAAAAAAAAATAATTTCAAACAAATAAGAAGAGAATTATTAAGTAGAAATTGCTTAACAAAGGATGCAAAAAACAAAAATTCTGATGAAGCTCAATCAATGAAAACTTACAACGCAAAATAAGAAATTAAAAAAAAATGTCATTGGCGGTTGTACAAATGTTCGATGCCTCTATGTCTTAAACAAATTATTATCTAAGAACTTAAAATTGGAAATGGAAATAATGGCTAATGCTTATATTTATTAACATTACTTGATTTGATCAAAGTAATAAAAAGACATCTTATTTAGGGGTTTCAAGAAACCCTAAAACACCCAACTTTAAAAATTAATTTAAAAATCTTTGAGAAAATGTTCTCATGAACATGTTCTTTGTAAACTTACAAAAAACAAAATAAAACTGATTACGTAAATGCTAAAATGAGTATACTTTATTTGTAATGGCTTGATTTGAAATCTACGCATCACAGTTGTGGGTAAGCCAGTTTTAGGGTAAGGCTTAATAAGGTCCATGTGATGGTTTCAAAAATCTCAGGTAAGGTTTACATAAGTCGAGAAGGTCAGACCGAATTGCCCGGCCAGACCGTTTCCTCAATAAAGTCCAGATAGGAGAATACACGCGTGTAGAGACCCGGTGTTACGGTGGCGCATCCGAATCCCGACGATATGACGCCCATGATCGTGTAGACGCCGTCCCGGTTACCGAGCTCCTGGATGAGCGGACCACCGGAGTCGCCCTGACAGGCGTCCGCCTTCTGTTCGTGGTCAATGGCGCACAGGAGCGACTCATCCACGCCGTGCTTCAACGCTCGAACGGATCCGGGCTGCTCCGCATAGGATACGTTGCACTGATCCAGGCTGACCATATCCAGTTTCGCCCGCAACAGGATCTTCGAACGCGCCCGAGCTGTGGATTATGTAAGTTGTTATTAATATTATTATTTTTAAAACCTTAAAAAATAAAGACTTTTAATTTAATATTTCTAAAAATTAATAACAAATAAAAAATGTTTCAAAAAAACATTAAATACTTCGATAAATAATAAAATAATAAATAAAAAATAATTATAATTTGGTAAAAATTCGCAATTATGTTTTGAATTTTATTGAATTACTCAAAAATAATTAATATTATTTTTAAAATTGACCAAAAACACTCTTGTTTGAATGTCAATTTCAAGTGAATTATTAATTAGCAATCCCCGATTTCAATGATGTAAGATGCCTTTACTCACTGGTCACATTGAGAACCCCCCAGCCGGCGACGAACAACTTGGTCTGCGGCGGTGAATCGTCGGGATCGGTGTGAAGGCAAGCGGGCCGGACGCTGTTCGTTTCGACTGCATCATGTGCCAGTTCCAGAACCGCGATATCATTGTACTTGCCGCTCACATACGACGGATGGATCGTTACGTTCCGCTAAAGAAATGCCACTCGACAATTAGGAGCTTAACAGAAGACGTGGAATGTTGTGCGGCTTACCACATTGATATCCTGATAGTTTTTGTCCGGTTTTTCAATATTAACCGCTCCCAAACGGACAAAAGCCGGCGGATCGTCTATGTTGCTCACACAGTGGGCGGCGGTGAGGACAAATCGCTTGGCGATGAGTGATCCACCGCACCGGAACTCGGAGTTGATGGTGTACGCGATGGCCGCCATGTGCGGATATACACCAGCGTCAACGGGATAGCCGCCGACAATGTGGATGACCAGTCGGTTGCTGCTATCGATTTTTTTCCGAATTTCCTTACAGGCTGTGTGCAGAGGAGAGAATTGAAGTGAAAAACCCTTGAGAAGAAAAACCACCTGTTCTTGATCCCCACCTGCCACCGATGGACGGTCCGTAGTTCCCCTAAACACATCAACACGGACCTCTGGATTGATCGCCCTGGTCGCGGAAGAGCTACCTAAAGTAGTACCCAAAGTAGTACTAAAAAGGGCAGTGAATTAGTGTAATGTTCACTTGAAACCCATTCTGGAATTACCCATTTTGTCTATACGGCTTGGTGGGACAGCAGACGATCTCCTCCCATGGGCCGAGTCCGCAGGAGGGCACATCGTTGAGATTTAGCACTCCCGACTTGATATAGCCATCGATCAGGGGCTCACAGTCGTTGGAGGCGCGGCAGGTTCCGGGCATGGTATCCGTAACATTGCACGCCTGACCCACTGTAAAAAAGGTTTAGGACTGCAATGGCTTTGGTTTTTAAACGATTTCCGTACTTACATATGACAGTTGCATAGATGGAGGAGCAGCTAATTAGCAAAAGGGTGGCGCAAAAAAGTATACCTCCTCTGTCGAATGTCATCATTGTCGTCTTAATGAGCTGTTTTAAATGAATATTGATTGATTTTCTAATCTGATTAATCAAAGATTTCCAAATAACAAAACATTGTAAAAGGTAAATCATTGATAATCAGCTTCCGGCCATCTGGCGTAGTTTTCCCTTTGTAAACACGACAAACTAACTAAAGTGGAGCATGCGATATGAGTAGCCCCACCCACTGTTCACAATCCACAATCCGCCTTATCGAACGCACCTTTGACAAAAACCTTTTTTCGGTCTTTGATAAGGAAATATACGTATACGTATGTGTATATCTATGATTTGTATTGAGTGCGTCGAGAGCACTTTGAATGCGGTGGCAATCAGGCACAAAACAACACAGCACAACACAGCTCAACAAAATAAAATAATATCAAATAAAGCAAAAGTACCGAGCGAATCACAAATAAAAAATAAAAAAAAAACACCGCTAAAAAGCACACCAGCAGAGCTGGGCGAAAACAAAACAAAAACACGAATGGGCTGGCCTTTGGAGGCTGGCTGGTTCTGACCGCTCAGCAACGCATCGCTCAAGCAACTGGAGCTGAGCTTGGACTTGGACTGAAGCTGGATGCAGCTGATAGCACCCAGAGCCTCTCCTATCCCGCTAAGCGGCGAACCGGTTCTCCCATCCAGTACTTCCCGCACTTCCAGCACTTGGAAATATCGCAGAACACAGCACACAACAAACGAAGCACAAAGGCAGCCTGTAATTAGCAGAATACCATGTGGGCTAAAAAAAAAAAAAATAAAACATAATGTTATAAGTTACATCAAAACCCTAATGAACCAAAAAAAAAAAAAGCTTGGCAGATGAAATTCGTAAAGAACCTCAATCAATGTAAGCTTACAATAAGCTTACAAGCTCGGTGCAAAGAAGAGTAACTCCTCTGTCAAAAGTCGTCAGAATCATCTTAATGAGCGCATATCAAACAAATACAATAGATTTTATAACTGATAACTCCAAAAAAAAAACATAAAATTTGAATTTATAATAGATTATTGCCATTGACCGACCGACTTATGATAAAATTGATGCTATAATTTTAAAACGCACTTCAGTCAGTTTTGGTTAGTAAAAAAGCCAAGTAAGTGGGAAAACTTCAAGGCTATATTTCTGAAGATATTATTTCACCATTTTACGGAAAACCGAAAACGGAAAACATGGACAGGTTGGATCGGTTGATTCACTTTTTTTGGCGCCTGTAATCTCTTTTCTGTCACTCACTTTTAGGGGTATTTATAGCTGATATCGGAAAACCTCCTGAACTATTTGATGCGGGGATTTGTTTCCGATAAGGGCAGCACGCAATAAATTTTGTTCCTAAATTCAATGACTAAAAGCGATTGAATTGTAATTTTTAATCCTCCGCCTCTTTAGTTATGATTATGATAATAAAATGTTTAGTTTTACTTGGGTAGTGTTAATTTGTTTTTATTGACACGACCTTTTTCCAATCTCTGATAAGGCAATTCGTAGATGTATCGACGTTATTAGAACGCTATTGCATAGCAATCAGAAACAAAAACAAAAATAAAAAATAAAAAAATAAAAATAAGCTAAACACGAGGAACACAACAAATTCAAAGTGCACACGAGTTGAGCAAACACAGCTGAAAGCCGGTGGCAATGACGAAGTGAATCGAATCTGAACGTTACGTTATATGGCAGAAATCGAGAGACGAATGGACCGATTCTGACCGCTCAGTAATGCATCTTTTGTGCAACTGAATCTACGACCACGGCAGCTGATTATCTTATAAATGATCCGCTCGCCATCCGGTTATTGTCACTGGCAGCTTTTTATAATTAGAATTAGATCTTTGCTGAACAAATCGCTAACAATTGGAAAGCCGGAGACATTAAACAGACTAATATAAATAATTGTGATCATGGCCGAAATGGACTACTAAACGTTCCACTTAATTGCTAAGCCTAGGAAATTCTCAAGAATCACAAACCGCAAGCGGTTGCCATTTTGTGCTAACTTCAATTGCAAGTCGTTAATTAATGCATAAATTATCTGACGTGCATACACTTAAAAATGTTTGCATATGAACATTTGTATATCTAGAATGCCTTAATACGCTGTTCCCCTCTTTTTATTTCTGGGGGTTATTTGTTAATGCAATTTTCTGCATTTGAAACAAAGCAGAAACTCAGTAAATGACACAAAGAATTTAATAAATATACATTTATTCAAGGTTATTATTTTAGTAATTTATGAGGCTTACTTTGAGGCTTACAAAATTGTACACTGATTTAATCTTAGGTATTTTACGTTTACAGTGTGACCTTGCTGACTGAATCACTTATTTTCACAAGTGTGACCTTGCTTGTAAAATCACGTCCATCTTAGACCCTATTTTTGCTACCTACAACTAAAATACAAGTACAGGCTTAATTAGATTGCTTAAACAAGATAACTACTGTGGGGTGAGAGTTACTCCTTCTGCTCCTGCTCCACAAAGTTTCTAAACTGTGGGCTGAGTAAGCCGGTGTAGTACATGGTTCTCGCTTCACACTCGGCGCCAGTGGGCGTGGCAATGGCCAGGACACAACGACTTCCGCCCGGTCGCACCAGATGGAGCACACTGCCCACCGATCCGGGACAGGCGGCGCAGGTGCTGCTGTTGGAGAACCGCTCCAGCTCCCTCTCCCCGCCCACCGGCTCCAGGCAAATGTGTGAACTGCCCAGTTCCTGGACTCCGCCATAGTTGGCCAGATCCCCGCAGGCCCAGGTGGGTCGCAACCGCATGGGCATCTCGTACAGCGGACAGTCGGTGGCTGATCAAAAAGGCAAGAAGGCAACTTGATTAGGCTTCTGGCAGATTATGTTAATCATGTTAGTCACACTCACCTTCACCCTTGCCCCAGGCCACGGCCACCAAACTGCCGCTCACCTGCAGGCGGGTCAACTCGAACTGGCTGCAAATGGGAGCTATGCTCACATTGGCGGAGGTCTGACTGCCCAGACGCAGTGGATCCTGCAGCCGAATCAGCGATAGATCCCTTCGAAACTGAACCAGACGCTGAAAAGTAAATCAATTTAGTTTTTTAAGGGCTCAAGATGTAAGCGACATAATAACTACTTTATGGTGTTTTTTATACACTTGCAGATGATATTGTAATTTTAGTCAAACGGTTTCAATCCTTTAAGGTATATATATTCTATATCAGCCTTATAAGGCGAGTCGGTCTAGCCATGTCCGTTTGTCCATTTGTACGCAAACTAGACTCTTAGTTTTAAAGCTATTTGAATAAAACTTTTCCAAATATCTTCTTTAAATATATCTTTAAATATGCTTCCTTATTTAGTGCTACTTTACTATTTTAATCGGGAACAAACGGAAAGATTAATAAAAGAAAGTATAACTTTAAGTTTATACAAATATACTCCGAGGTTATATTTATATATATATATATATATATATATATATATATAAATAATACTATCAAACTTTTACCAGAACTACGTTTTTAATCTAATTTTATACACATTGAACAAAAACATCGTACAGCTGCCATGGAAGCGATTAAATAAATTCTTTGGAAAATAATCAAAACCTCATTGCTTATGAAAATCGTCCAATAGAATATTAAATCTACATACACAAGTAATAGCTGCAGATGTATATGAACTTTCTTGCCTGTTTTTCATAGTTTGAATTGAACTTAGGGACTCGACTCACCACAATGTCAGCCAGGTAGTCCTCGTCGGCGTCGACGTCCCGCATGTCAGCCACCCCGAAGACGGCGTGACTGGGCCTTTCGCAGCCGGCGGCGCTGACCAGGAGCCGTGGGGTCAGCACAATGGCGGCACAGTGATGCAGGTGCCCGTCGAAGGCGGCATTGGGGTGGGCCAGCGACGCCAGGTGCCGGTAGCGGGGCAGCAGGCTATCCGCCCGAGCAATTGTGGCCAGCTCGCGGGGATCCTCCGGACGGGACGCCTCCGAGGAGTCGCCCTGGACGCCCAGACGCGGACCGCTTTGGACGCGCGGCTGGAGGGGCAGGTCGATGGGACAGCAGATGATCTCCTCGTGGGTGCCCACGTCGCACGTGGTGAAGTCCTCGTCCCGCAGGCGACCCTGGGACAGAAGTGGCTCCACACTGGGACACTGGGACACGGCTCGGCACTGGCCCACGTACAACGGAGCCGTGCACTCCGCACCCTCGGGAGTGCCCCTCAGCGGGAAGCTTTCCCTTGTCGGCCGATGGGTGGGTCCAATGGATCGCTGGACGTACTCGCGATCCGTCTGGAATATACTAAGCCAATCCTCGCCTGCTGTTGCTGGTGTAGTAGTAGTGGTAGTGGTAGTAGTAGTAGTAGTAGAAGTGGTCGACGTAGTGGAAGTGGAAGTGGTGCTCCTTGTGGTCTCCTCCAAGCGCACCATACTTTGGGCATCCTCGACGGGACAGCAGATCTTCTCGCTGCGGGTGGTGAAGCCGCAGTTCATCACGGTCTTGAGCGTGAGTCTGCCCGTCTGGAGATGTGAGGACAGGGTCTCACAATCCTCCACCGCTTGGCAGCGACTGCGGTAGTTGGGCGTCGGACAGGGGTCACCCACTGCAACTGAAAAATGGTATAGTTAATAAAGAGTTTAAATACATCTTATGGATATATCTTATAAACATGCCGTTGAACTCCTCCAAAGATAATCATTAGCATTAAAAAAGAAAACAAGAAAGGAAGCAAATATCGGGAAGTTGATGGTTTTATACCCTTAAACAAGTATGTTTCGATTTGTTTGCTTAAAAGAAATGAAGCAATGAAGCTATTTCGCTTTTCCGATTAATTTTTTTTTAAGATTTTTATAAATTTAAAAGCTCACCTCCTTAATAGTAATGGTACTATGTATGAAGCTATAATTTTTTTTTTATTAATTTTGTTTGTTTCTTTTCTTATGTGAATTATATGATAAAGTAGTCTACCTGCAAGGTTTGGGAAAGTTTTAACCAGATGGCTTTAAGACTGAGAGACTAGTTTTGCGTAGAAACTGACGGACAGACAAACGGACAGATAAACGGACAGACGTCCGACTCTCCTCTCTCGTGAATACGAAACTACGAGAACTTCGAGTTAAGAAAGTTCAATCAATGAGAGTTCAACTGTACGAAAGATATATAATACATCAACGCAAATAATTACGTAGAGCGACGACCAGTACTTAATTGTTCGGCTCAGGAAGTGTAGTTATTCGGTTGAGTTTCTGTGGCTGGCCAAACTGATCAACAGATGAGCTTGCCAGACGGCTTACGCACCCTCCAGACTGAAGTAGCCACGGCAGAAGCCGAGACAGAGGCTTGCCAAGATCAGGGCTGTCACACAGCCCGTTGCCCCTCGACGTAACATCGCTCGAGTGTCGACCGTTTGAGATGCTGATGCTGCTGGCTGTTGATATTAATTATTTTCCTCTGGTTTCCCTCGCAAACTGGCTGGCGAAACTGACCGATCGACGGAGCTGCTGGCGATCAACTGGCCGCTAAGCAATCGCGACGCTCGGAGAAATTGAGTAAAAATGAAGGCGGTTCTCCCCTGCAACTGGTTCAACGATCAGCGGAAATCGCAGAGAGATATTGTAAGCGAGCGGAGGCCTTGATGAGCTTTGATCGGAGCGGGCTGGCTGCCCAACATGATTGATTCAGCAAATTGTTAGTCATTGATTGAATGGGAGAAACCCCAGGCGCAAAGCGAACTGCTTCCCATGGAAAATAGGGGGTGCACCACAGGATTGGATCATGCATCGATTAGGCAAGCGTGGGTTCTAGTGACTAAACCAAAGAATCACAAGTATCCCCCAGGGAAACTGATCTTTACAAATCGAATTTCCATTTATTAAATGATTTAATATTGTTCATTGAATAGCAAGAAAGAAAGCTAACTTAGCTTAAGTTTAAGTTTTTCAAAAAATACTTATTCTTTAAAGCAACAGTATTCCGATTTTTGTATACCTAGTTGATTGCCATCCTAAAGAATTCGCGGTATTCGGTCCTTGGCTTGAGATACACCAGTACCGTGAAATCTTCACAAGAGAGTCGATGAACATATTAAGACAAGTAAACCGCAAACTCTTTGGCGGAGAATGACTTGCTTTTGATTCTTATTTGCGGTAACCTATTCAAAACCCATTGATCTGCAGTGATATTATATTTTATTTTCCAACTATCTATAAGACCTCTGGATCGTAGCCAGGTAAAAAACCAAGTTGATTTCGTTAGGGCGCCCAACCAAAGAGGAACACTTTATTTATTTTTTTTTTCTTTGAATGGTTTTTGGACAAGCGAAACAATTTGTGTGGATTGGCACAGGTGTCTGTTTGAGTTTTCGTTCTTTAATCAGGTAGATCTCTAAGACTAATAATACTCTGGACAGGTGGGGCAGGGTTTTGGAGTTCATGATCACAGTTGTTTGGTTCCAAGCGAAACTTTTATTGCTGAAGCAGAGGAGACATGTTCCGGAGGCCTAGTAGCCGTAGATGAAGGTCTCGTAGACGAAGCTCCGCGTCTGATTGGAGGTGAGCAGGATCTCCACGTTGGTCTGGCCAATGCCACCTTTGCTCAGATATCCGCCGGCATCGTCCGCCGTCATGTCCACATACACCTCGATGCAGGTGAGCGTGACTCCGGTGCTGGCTCCGGCCGGATAGCTCATTAGCACCTCCACGTCCAGGGCACTGGCGAAGTTCTCGTCGTCGTAGTGGTTCACAATAAGCCGATCACCGGATGTCCTCTCGCCCGAAGTGAAGACGATGTTGCCCTTGGAGTGCTTCACCTTGTTCATCTCGTTGAGCGTTATGTCCGGATTGAGGGCTGTGTAGCGGGTGTCATCGTTCACCGGCGTGATGTCCGTGTAGTAGAGATCACTGGCACGGGCATGTGGCTGTCCGGTTGATCCCGACGCAATCACACCCAGCACCATGCAAATCATCAGCAACATTTTCGGTAGCACCAGTAAAAAAAAAAAAAACAAATAAACGAGTTTGGGCTCTTTCTAATGCACTATTCAAGCGCTTTTTGGATTTTGGCTGGTGCTGGCGACCGCCTTTACCTTTTATACGTACTCCCTTATCGGCGGTCACCAGCGCGATAAGACGCCTCGACAACTGAACGATAAGCCCCCGGACTGGGAATTGGGAATTGGGAATTGGCCAAAGCAATTTCGGCAGGCGCACTTATAGCCGCAGCTTTTAATTGGCCATAATGCTGTGATCAGTTCCCAAAATAGCTCTGCCCAGGTTACACTAATCGGATTGGATTGAATCGAATCAATGGAATGCGATTACTGATTGGGCAGGTGAATCAGCGGAGGTCTCCAAGGGTGCAGGGAATCTAGCTATAAATTTAGAGTACTATAAAGTATCTATAAATAAATAATTTGTATTATGTTGATTTATTTTTAACTTTTTATTACCCCTCAAATTGGTCTCTATGTCGATAAAAAGCGATTGCTGAATGAGCAGCTGAATTAAATGAGATTTTCATGGGTGCAGATATACTATCCCCAGGAAATACTCCTTCATTTTGAAAAAAGTATGAAAAGTATAAATATGACCTAAATTAAACCCCACTATAGGACCATTTTGAGTTTACTATTTAAAAAATTAAGTTATGGTTTTTTTTGGATGTAGATATTTGTTCCAATACCCAAAAGAATTACAATGGTTTTTTACAGTGATAAATAAATATGTAGTGTTATGTTGTAATATTTCCAACAATTTTATACTAAGACCCCTATCGAAAGCGGACTTTTGGTGCCTCAATTTATGACAGATATTGTATATAGGAAGAGTGACTTGGCCATCTTTTAGGGGCCGAATCTCTGCCAGCGCGTGTTTGTTTGTTTATTCGCCCGACGGCAATCTTAGCCTTGATATGCATAATGGCGCACAATGGCAAACAATCTAGTAAACAAACAACCCTATCTACAAAGTCAATTGCCCGTCTAAGCAGCATGGCCCATGAATCGATTCTGGACTGACGTCGTCAATTCCCCAGTTACATCGTCAGTGGCTCGAAGTGATGGCCACCGAAAGAGTAGAGTGGAGTATGCTTGCTTAGATGGTTATTCCCAATTGTTTGCAGGGCGCGCGTGGGAGTTTAGCCATTGTTCAGTGAACTGACTCAGTTCAATGAATCATGGTGCTGGGGAATTCCTTCTTAGATCCCAACAGATAGGTGGAAAGTTTAGCAACGTCAGAGGAAGTTTTATTTTTAGAAGTAAAAATGTTGTGCGTCGGAACCCATGGCAGTCTAATCCAATTGTATTTCAGTTTCACTTTCCACACAACGAGTTCTCAATCGGAATCCAAATCAGATGTGCAGGTGAGTGGCTGTCCCAGATTTATGGCACTGGTTGTCATAAGTTTCGAGTGGAAGGCGCGTGAGCGACGAAAACAATTTCAAATTACTCGAGATTACCGAATAGCCTGAGGGAATGATGATATATGATCCCCACGAGCAACCATCTTGCCGCTGTCCAATAGGGGCACTCACTTTTACACAGAGCAAAAAAAAAAAAAAAAAAAAAAAAAAAAAAAATTAAAAGAAAAAGAAAAAAGAAAAGTTTTAAAATTTATCTTAAATTTGTTGGTTTGTTGATTAATCTAACATTTTTGTTTATATGTTGAATTTAATTTTTTTTTTTTATAAAAAAGTTTCTGTACATTTATGAGCATTAGCTCATTAAAAACCATGACCCAACTGCCGAATTGGGATGCGTTAAATAAGATATTTGGAGATCCAAATCCATTGTTATTCAGCTAATGCTTTCCCTCTGAATGAGTTTAAATATATGACGAATCTGATTTTAGGCACTCGACAGCCTGTAAGTTTAAGTATCAAACCAAATCCTTGACAGTTATATAGTTAATCCTTGACTAACTGATCTTAGCCCGAAATTGAAACCATAGTTGTTACTTATATCGAGTTAATCTCACATTTGGGACCGACATTAGTCTGCCTGTATACACATATATATTGTAGTTCAAATTGTAGTCAAAGGACACACATTTTAAAGGAAAACGATGGATGATGCCTATTCCGGTACGCCGTAGTACTGGACCTGGTAGGAGAAGTTCTTGGTGCTGCTGGCCTCCAGAACGATGGAGATGTATCGCTGGCCGATGCCGCCGGCCACCACGTAGGCGGAGCCATCGCTGGTGTCCTGGGTGCAGAGCAGCTCCACGTAGGACACGATGGCGCCGGCGCCCTGCTCCGGATAGGTCAACTGCAGGCTGACGTCCTGTGCCCGCGGGTACTCGAAGGTATCGGCTGCCTGGGCCACCAGACGATCGCCTGAAAGTATGCCAGGTTGTAATTGGTGATACGCGTTAAGTGGCTAGACAAAGTCTATTCTTTGGGGGACTACTCACTGGGAATGCGGGCTCCCAGGTTATAGCGCAGCGTCTGGCTTCCCACACGCGCCTTGCCCGGCACAACCTCCTTGTCCAGGGCCTGAATCCGAAGACCCGGATGCTGAGCGGCAAACACATGAATGTCCTTCACCACTCGAACCTCGCTGCTATCCACACGGATTTTGCCAGCCGCTCCACCGGAGACAAGGCAACCCAGCAGGGCTGTCAACAGGATCACGGTTAGCTTGGACATCTTTCAGCTTCTTATTCGATTTAGTTAGAGTTTAAACTTATATATCTCCAGCCAAGGCGTTTAGAAGTCGCGGAATGAATGAATGGCCAAGGTCTGAGAAACCACCTATTTATACTGGATAGGGGAAGTCTCTGCTTTGATTTGAATCACACCCATTCGGTTGCCTTATCAGGCCCATTGCCAATTTCGAGTGGCAAGTGACAATGTGTAATCCAGAATCCAGGGTTAACACCGAAGGCAGAAGTACCCTGCTTAAGGACACCAACTTTTTTGAAATATACAAAAATAATTGCCACCCAAAGGAGTTACAGATTCTGAGTTAAAAAAAAAAACCATAACCTTAGAGACATTTCTTTTTTTTTTTTTTTTTTTTATTATTATTGTCGCCGGAATCGTTCAGGGCCATCTGAACATAACCGGTCGTTTAGAGGATGGGGTATAAAATTTCCAAGCCACCCTTCAAAGTGAAGCTACCTCAAAAAAGTGTAACAATAATAACACTGATAAGAAACATTCCCACTTCAATCAATGAAATTGAACAATTTTGGTGTTATTGCGCTCGGATCTAATCACTCCCTTTCCGTCTCCGAACAATTGTGTTGGTTTTGGTTTGGAAGTACGGCCTATCCAGCAGTAGCAGTATACGCCAAACATGCTACTATTTCTGGCTGTTGTTGATTAGCCAAGAGAAACTTAACGCAATCGAATGTCTCTGGATTGCCACCTGCCGGCTTGTTTTATATCGGACCCTTCTACCGCTCCCCTCCTGCATTAGGAAATATCTTCCCGGAATCTTATCGCCAGCGGACTTCCCTGGAACTGGGGCGTCAAGTACCTTCAAGACAAATCGAGAATCATTAAGTTTTCCATCGATATTGTTGATTTGACTAAACAATAAACACTGACTCATTTGCCTAAAAAAAGATTCACTTGTCATTCTATACGCTATAATAACTATACTATACTATTTTTGAGGAAGAAAACTTCTTTTGTAAGAAAGTTTAAAGATCGTTTTGTGAAAGACAATTTATGTTGGGTTCACATTTTTCAGAAAACAAAATGTTGTTATTTGTCCTGATGAGAATATGATTTTTTATACTATTTTTGAATTTCTGTCCTTAATTTTATTTAAAAAATTAGTAAATTGGTAATCTTAAGAGCTAAAAACGAACAATGCCTTTTGGAGAACTGTTATTAACTTACAACCTTTTGCAAATTGTTTAATTAGTCAAGAAGAAAGATATTTTAAATATGTCAGAACTTCCTCTGCTTTAAACATATTTTAAAAAATAATTTGAAGTCACCCACACAAGATAAAATAATAAACAGCTTGGATTACAAGGTAAAGTGTTTAGAAAACATGTTTATTTATATTCTATTATTCAGACTTATCGATAACTCTAAAGTTACACATGAATGTAAAATATTGTTTTCAAAAATCGAACTCCCGAAGCACTTGCAACGATCAATGACGATTACGACTATCTGGTACAGAGAGCTTTACGAAAAAACAGAACAAAAATAATATCGTTATAGGATAAAGAGCCGAGCTTCGCTGCAGACTCGTTCGGTTCGGTTTGGATTTGATTTGATTGGATTATAATAGATTAGAATTAGATGGGAATGTGGCAGCATAGAAACTAAGCTAAGGTTAGTTGGAGTTAAATGAGTATAGACGAGGGTTAGTTGGAGTTAAATGAGTATAGACTTGGGTTAGTTGGAGTTAAATGAGTATAGACTAGGGTTAGTACCTAAATTTGTGTTGTGGCAATCATAAAGCAAAACAATCTGCGGCCATTGTCGTTCCATAAACGAATCTATATAGATCCTCTATTGCACTCGACTTGTCACCCATCCCGCTCTCGCGCCGTCTCTCTCTTTTTCGCTTCCGTCCTATCCCTATCTCTATCGCACTCTCTCACTCATACGCAAGGACACTGAGCGCAAGGACATGGAAATCCCACCAGGTTTGGATCCTAATAATCAGTTTGGTAACTATTTTATCCGATTTGACAATCAAAATGTGATGATTTAGGTTCAACACTAGGTGCCTTTTTGTAAATTTTAAATCCGTTAACTGGATGATTTTAAATCAATCTTTATAAATGCCAATAAAAAACCTTATTCGAATACACATTTAGATTTAGAAATTGTTCTAACTGGTCAAATTTTTTCCCGTTTTTAGTGTGGCTTACAAATATAGTAATATAATATGAGAATTTTTCACGATTCGATATCAACAATCTAAACAAAAAAAAATAAAAGGTCTTTACGAAATTGTTTTACAACGTCGTAGCTCCTTAGGTTTAAAAATATATTGGATCCTGATTACCTAGGGAAGTTCCATGCGCTCGCAATGCATGTGTACAGTGCGTTACATAAATGCCTACACGAGTATATATCTGTATGATTTCATGTATGATTTCATTCAACAACAATTCCATTTCTCATTTTCACTAAATTGCTTTTGTCTAAAATATCGCCCCCCGTTTTGCCCCGGCTGAAACCCTTGTGATCCATCCATTGATCCTCCTCCTCCTCCTCCTGCTGCTGCTGCTGCTGCTGCTGCTGCTCATCCTCCTGATCCTCCTCGACACTGGACTTACCAGTGCGGGCGTATCTCCTTGAACCACCACTGCTGGTAGCTATCGTTGACATCGCAGTGACCCAACGACAATTGCTGGGTGGCCGGATGCAGGGCCATGCACTTCTTGTGGACGCGGTGCATGAGGTGTTTGGTGTGCTCGTTGTACTGCCATGGACCATCGACGGTGCCCAGTCGGCAGACGGCCAGCTTGATGCCCTGCCGATCGGCCTCCACGCAACGCTCGCCCACGCCCAGCTGTCCGGCGGCATTGAGCCGTACCAGTTGGTTGTTGCCGCCGCCGTGGCAGTAGGTTAGGCCCATAATGGCCGGCGGCTGGTGTCCCATCGAGTCCAGGCAGCCGTCGGAGGCCACCGATCGCAGTTCACCCCAGTGGAGATTGGCCGGCAGACCCGGGAACTTGTCGTACACATCGTAGGCGATGTGGTCCATGAACCACTGGAAGCTCTTGCAGTTGAGGCGTTTCTTCAAAGCCAGCTGCTCGCTGATGTCACCCATGTCCAGGTAGCGGGCCAATGGCTCGCGCGTATAGAAGTACTCCTTGTGCGTGTCATCGAACCACGTCTCGATCACCCGCTTGTAGTTGATCGTGATCAGCGGACCCTTCTTCTTGCTGGCCAACTTGCCAAAGTTGTAGGGCATGAAGCCGCGATAGACATGGCCGACGCGGGAGCAGGGCACCCACTCGATACTGCCGCCGCACTGCCAGATCTTGAAGCTCAGCTCGAAGTTCTCGCCGCCCCAAACGAGCAGGCCGGGATCGTAGGCGCCCAGCTCCAAAAAGTACTCCCTATTAATGGCAAACAGTCCGCCGGCGTGCGTGGGACTGCGATACGGTTCCGAGTTGTGCGGACGACGGCGTTGCTCGCGGCGCGGCACCTCGTTCTCCTTGTACAGCATGCCCCACTCGAAGATGCCGCGGAAGTGGTTATCCGTTCCATAGACCGGCCGATACTCAAAGTTCTTGTGGTCAATGCCATCAATAATGGGCACCGTCATCACGGTGCGATCCCGGTAGATGGGGGCCAGCAACGGAGGCAGCCAATTGGTGTTCACCTCACAGTGGGCGTCCAGGAAGACGATCACCTCACCTGCGGGGCATAAATCGTATTAGGGATTGTGCAGGAGCTTAAAAATAAAAGGGTGTGTTTAAATACTATAAGAAGTCTCTTGTTAAGGATTTTTGAAATACCTATATAAAACTAATGTCAGGAATCTATAAACAATAAATACTCTGATGGGTTTTTTATAGTCCTATAAGCAAGCATCTGCAAACAATTGAATGTTGGAATACCCTTAAGGGTTTTTAAAGTCTATCAAATATCTTACAATTAGTAATCGAACATAAATTTAATATATATATTAAAAAACATAGATATTCCTAAAAGTAGGAATCTGAAATTTATGTATGGAATTATTAAAGTCTCTTGAATTGCATAGAAATTAAGGATCATTTCATTCTGCTTCATTGTTTATTTATTTTACACTTGAATAGCACAAAAACCTACTTTTTTTTCTTCACTTTATTCATGTTGTAAGTTGAAGTTGAGACTTATAAGATTGGAATGACAAACTCTCAAGTTTGCGTGCTCAATCATTTGATAGATAACAAAAGGGAATTGATTATAATTTCAAATAACTGACGTACGTTCAGCTATAACATAGATAGACATATCTTGAGATAGATAAAAGATTCTTTGAAATATGACACGTTCTTTGGACCTATGACTTCCACGCGAAGACAGAGAAAGTGGAAATTCATTAATTAGTATTCCAAATACCTAATGTTCAACGATTGATAAAAATATCTGAAGATTTTGTACATTATGACACGTTCATTGGCCCTATTACTTCAATGATTTTAAAATCATAAAGACTAGTAAGAAATTCTTTGCATTTAACTGAAGATAATGAGTGTGCCAACGCACCTGTTGCCTCCATGGCTCCCCTGGATCGCGTCCGGATGAGACCCTCGCGCTCCTTGTTCCGGATCACCTTGACCAGTCCCTTGAACTGCAGCACATACTCGTCCAGCTGGGTGCGCAGGTTCTCCTTGTCGGAGAAGTCGTCGACGAGGATGATCTCGTGCAGCATGTGAGCGGGCGAGCGGTCGATGACCGAGTGCACGGTGCGCATGAGCACCGAGAAGCCCTCGTTGTGGAAGACAATGATGACGCTGGTGCGTGGCAGATCGAAGGGATAGTCCCAGTGGCGGCACTCCTCCAGCCGCGTGTCCCGCACCGATCGGTGCATGGATATCTCGTCGGAGCAGGCGATGTTCATGCCGTACTCCATTTCGGAGGCATCGGACACGTGCTTCTTGTCCGGCGACAGGCTGTGGCCCTCTCCGTTCTCGCCGGGTCCGCTACGTGGCTTCACATCTTTGGGCTCAAAGTTGCCCAGGCCTAAAAAAAATAATGCAAAAAGACGAGTGAATGAGTGGCGTATGCAAATGCAAACGCAAATGCAAATGCAAATATGTGCGCAAGCCTACAGCACTTGTATAAATATTGGCCAAGCCAATGTACATATGCTTTTCCAGAGGGTATAATTTTAGACCCATGCAGGAGGAGCAGATATCTTTGAGCTGATGAGTACTTCTTTTGGCCAGGGCATCTAAATAGCTTACCAAACCCTTGCCAGTTTCTGTACTATCAAAACACAATAGGTTTTTGTGGTTAGTAAGCAACATACGCAGGGAATGACTGTTCTATATTCGCTTTCTTCCCGCTCTTTCTAGCACCAATAGTTAGAGACATTTCAAAGCCGGTTTTGAAGAATGTATAACACAATTCAGTGGATATTACGGGTGAGGCTGTTAGAGACAACTCTAAATTGACTGTTCTTTAGGTATCTCATGACCCTAATCCTATTTAACGCCGTCTTATTAATGTTTAAAGTCATAACACACTCAATACCAATGGTATAGGTTTTGAATGCTATATAGCGGAAATTGGTAAATAATACTGTTAAGTTAATGTTATATAAAGGCTAAAAGGATATTCTGACCCTTGTCCTGATCCAACTTATGATCATCAGCTTAGTCATTAGTGATTAAGACCACAATAGAACATTTTCAACGGACATGTAACATATGCAAGTGAATATTAATGGTTTATGCCAAGAAAAATCCGGTTTTGAGTGATACATATGTACATATATTACAAAAGTTACTGAATATTTTAGATGGTTTGGTTGTATATGAGCAATGCTATTGTGTGAACGATCAGGGAATTATCATTTTTTTGTAAATATTTTGACTGATCTAGAGGGTTCTAATTCAATTTCAATGAAATTTCGGAATTCTTTGACATTATTATCATTATCCTGATGCAATGTATCCTTCACGATCTCGGGATTAAGTATTGAGGCATTGATAAACCAGTTTCTAATAATAGTTGTAAATATTTTAACCTTATTATCCTTTATCCTGGTGCAATTCTACAATAGCTAGCTAAAGCCAGTTTTGAATGAAATCGATCAGAATTGAATGAAAATTTAATTTTCATTTCTGGGGATGAATGGGTTATCCTTCATCCTGGTCCAACTTACCCTCCACCAGTTTGGGCACCTCCCGCGGACGTCCTTCCAGTCGCTGGTGGGCGAACTTGGGGCCGCCGAAGCGCGTGTGGTACGCCTCCTGGACGCGCTTGTGGTGATCGCTCCAGTTGGCCAGCAGATAGAGCAGCGGGAGCAGCACCAGGAGGCACAGTGCCAGCCGGCAGATCCGTCCGCTGCGGATGTTGCTCACGCGCATCTCGCAATTCCCGATTCCCAGTTCTCCGATTCCAATTTCAGATTCGCAGCTTCCAATTTCCAATTTCCAATTCCCGATTCCAAGTTTCCAAAATCTGTTGACGTGTCTAGGTGGCCAAAAACGAAGAAGAAGCACGGGAAATGCGGTGCGGCGCGAGGGGAGCGGGGAAAGGTGGCCAGAAAGCAGAACAAAAGAACTTTCGGTTCGGAGATTCAGCCGGAGATCAAACGCCGTTCGCCGATAATGAGCAAGTGCTGGCGTTGGCTTGTAAACTGGAATAACTGGAGTACACCGGCTCGTCGAATTACGCGGCTTCTTGGCTCCCAAATTGGAACTCACTTGCCGGCGAAAAAGCGCCGCTGGCACACAGAACAAATTGCGAGTGCAGGTGCACGAATATTCGCGGTCCAAACGTAAACAAAAAATGCGAGAAATGTTCAACTGGTATGAACGCGTTTTGACGTTTTTGTTACCCGCTGAGCAGGCGTTAGGCCAAAAATAGGCACAAACAGCGATAGGCAGCGCAGCGATAGCAGTGCCTTGTGGAACCTAATATACATATATATATATATATATGAATGTATGTACATTTATATATATATATATATTTAACATTTATTTTATGGCCTGCTGTTTTAAGAGAAAACTATTCCTTTATTTTGTTTAAAGTGTGTGTGCTACGGCCTCTGCATACCACTACGTAGCGAGGTCCCGTTAACTAATTTTTACGTCGATAACATCCCATGTTATCGTCGGGCAGCAATCGATAACTCTTGTGCTGTGTTTACCTGTGACGCAATTTAAATTTTTGTTTTTAATTAAATATGGTTACGCGGCAATTGCATTCCGCCGTATTTGGCGCATGCGGCCTTGAAGACGAGTCCCTGGTGGAGATCTCCGGTCCGGCGGACAGCGGCAAGAGCCTGGTGCTCCAGCAATTGGTGGCCCACTGTTTGGCGCCCTACGAATTCGGTGGTCGCCAGTGGAGCGTCCTCCTGATAAACCTCAGTCACAAGATCAGCCGGGAATCCCTGACCAGGAGTATGACAACGGAGTTGAGAAGTTATTCCGGAGCAGGAGCAGCGGAGGAATCACCGCCGGAGGAGCAGCTGGCGAAGATTGCCGGGGAATGCGTGAGGCGTGTGCGATTCCTCAACTGTTTCTCCACCGAGGATCTAAAAACTGCCCTAATCGATGCCCGCTATGCCATCATCAGTGATCCCGCCGTGCAACTAATCGCCCTGGACACACTCAGCGAATTCTACTGGCTGGACTGGCCCAGTCGGACCAAGAACCTGTCCAGATTCCGGCACTATCACATGTGGCAGACGCGTCTGGAGAAGACCTGCAAGGAGGCCGTCGTCTGCGGAATGTACACGGTGGACTCGGATTTCCTGGACAACAGACATGGCGAACATCTGCCGGAGGTTCATCTAAACCACCACGTCAGGATGCAAAAGATTCGGGGGCGAAATACCCTAAATGGAAGGCCTCTAGCCTTCAATAATGGGGTCTATTTGGATAGCTAGCAATTAATTAGTCACTGTTTTATGTAAACATTTACCATTTACTTAAGATGTCCCTGCAAACGAAACTCTTAGATTAAAAAGCGTTCGCAATGGCGTTCATCCGAATACAAAGTTCAAAATTAGTCAGTTTCCAATGTAAATATACATTATTTTTAGACATGGGATTTTCAGGAACTGTTAAATCGAGAAGAACCGAAAGGAGACGATTGTATATGTTCCTTAAGAGCACTATCAAGTTAAAAATAGAAGTACTTACAGAAAGACAGAGTTTTATGATCAGGATATCAGCGACTTTTTGAGCTAAACAAATGGAACGTAGACCATAAACCCGCAAACGACCCATAAAATGTAGCTACACAACAGCCAATTGTTGTTTAAAATTGGATTTATTTAGATAACTACCAAGTCAGAAATCTATACACGCATTATTAACTGTTTTATGTAAGGGGATCTCGGGAACCATTAAAGCTAGAGAAGTGTGGGATGACTTATTCCATTCATAAAATAATATTATCTTGATGAAAAATGCTTAAAAGTCGCTTGAAATGATGTTGAAACCAAGATGGTTTGCCTTGTATTTTTCGAAAAGAATTGCAAACCCTACCAGAATCGTACTTATCAACTAATGATATCTAAAAACTATGCATAAGTAAACTAGTTTGTTTAGCAGCAGTGTCAGTTTCAGTGTGTCAGTGTCCTTTTTTTTTTTTTTACTTAGCATCTTAAGAAGCAATATGTCTTGCAAATGTATTTTTATTCGCCGATTTGCTCTTCAACATTACTACTAGCGTGGTAGTGTGCTTAAAAAGGCGATAAATTAGTAAAAATTATTAAATACAATCATTATTACTAAATGCAATTTCAATAAATAATTATTCGCTTTGTTTTGTTTTGTTTTGTTTTGTTTTGTTTTTATGGCTTAGTCACAAACATTAAGAAGTTTCAGTTTTAACGCTTTTTGTTATTCGATGCCCTATGCTCCTATTTACATGTGTGCTCCTCGAGTACCTTCGTACAGACTTGGCACTTGACCTGGCAGCACCAGTGAAATTTGCAGCTGCAGCGTTCCTTAACAATAATGTTTTTCGTATTGTAGCCCCGTCCGCAGCAGAGTATGGCGCAGCTCTCCAATCCCGACGAGTTCTTCTGACAGAGGCGTCCATGGGTTCCCGGCCAGTGGAGCATGTGGCTGGTGCGGCACCAGTCGGGGCTCTCGTCCAAGTAGATGAGATCGTGGGCGGTGGGCACCCGGAATTGCAGATCCTTCAACTGGAGCCGTCCCCGTTTGTTGATCCTCACCTGCGTGGCCTCCTCGTACTTCTCCCTCAGATAGTCACCGATCTCCCGTATGGAGGACAACTGCTGCCAGCATGTGATGAGGCTGCACGACCCCGAAACGCCGTGGCATTTGCACGTGATCCTGGTCTTCTTGATCACCGCCCGACGGCCGGCCTCGTTGTTGTGCAAGTTCATCAGGCTCCTGGCCTTGGCCGTCGATGAGCTGCGATAGGAGATCGATACGCCGCCGCCGCCACCGCCGCCGTCCAGGTTGTCCAAATCCGACTGGCGCCGATTCTTGTTCTTCTTGAGGCCATCGCGTGCCCGTTTTCTCTTCACGCCGCGCGTCTCCCTGTTCGTCTCCTTCTCCCGCGAGTCAATAAAGTCCGTGGCAAACTTGTAGGCAAACTCCAGATTATCGCCACAACCGCCCCAATTCCAGTCGTCGTGCAGCTGCTTGGGTCTCGGTCCGCGCGAGCACGAACACGACGCCAACTGGCCATCCCGACAGGCACGGGCTATGAAACTGGTCGCCGTGGCCGCGGCCAGTGCATAGATGAAGGCCATCTCGGGTGCAGCCAGGCTGGTCATGGGGCCGAACACCGTCTCGTCGTTGGTGGTGCTGCAGTTCCAGCGGCGGTTCTTGAACTGGAACTGGCACTCCTGGATGGCCGCCCGTGCCCCCCGGCTGATGGCCGGCATCACGCTGGTGTGCTTCACACACTGCTTCCTCTGGCTGGTGCTCAGTCCATGGGCGGCATAGCAATTGCTGGGATTCAGATCGATCCTCTCAAAGTATGCATTCGCATTCGCGTTGCCATTCCCATTCGTTGTCACATTTTGGGGCTCATTGACGGTGGCCACATCGGCCGAGGTCATCACCACATCGTGCTTGAAGTAATCCGTAACGGACGGATTGTCCATCGATACCTTAATATAGTCTGACTTGATTTTTCTACTACTACTGATGCTGCTACTGCTGATGCTACTGCTACTGCCACTGCTCACGGGCTGTGAGCGTTCCACGCGGGAAAGCAACATGCCATCGGATCCCTCCGAGGAGTGGACTTTGAAGGAGTCGGGTATCTCGATGGACACGGCAAAGCGGCGCGTATTGTTGATGGTCTGGATGAAGGGCTGGAACGGTGGCTGTATGTACTCGGACTGGCCGCGGAACCACTCGTCTCGCTCCCGCTGCCGCTGCTGCTCCTCCCGCCGCCGCTGCCGTATGCACTTGGGCGACTCCGGATTCCTCAGGCACGGCGGACGTTTGGTGGTCCGCTGTCCCTGTCCCTGTCCCTGCCCCTGTCCCTTGACCGGATTCATGGTGGTCTGTGCTGGTAGTGCTGGCTCCATCGATGACATGGTGGTCGTCGTTCCAGTGGACAGCGTTTCGTTGAGCAGCAGCACCTGCGGCTCCTCCTTCAATCGGTTGCCGGCGAGTGAAACGGACGTTTCCGTGGGCTTCAACTGCGACTGATTGCTGCCAGTCTCCTCGTTCTGGTAGTAGCCACCACTGGGCGGCTGGCCGGGATTGTCCACCTTGGGCACCTTACGTGTGGGCGCCGCTATGGGTGCGGAATACTGATGGACGGGCCTTTGGGGACGCTTCGCATTGGTGGGTGAGCCGCCGGTGGTGGACTTGTCCTTGTCCTTCTGCAGGCTGGGAAACTTGACAAACTTGGACTCGAAATTGGAGTTCGTCTGCGTCATGTTGTGCAGAAAGAGTATGTGCTTCTTGAGGTCATCGATGTTGGAGGTGGGATCGGCCGCCTCCAGTTGGGCCATGGGGGCGGGCACAAAGCTTCGTGTGGACTTCAGGGGCAGCGAGGAGGGCGTGGGAGCGGTGACCATCCAGCGGGAATCGGGCGACGAGTTCTTCAGCGCCATGGGCACAATGAACTTGCGATCCTCGTCGGTGAGACTGGCCGGCAGGCCATTCTCGTCGGTGTCCTCGTCCAGCAGGATGATCTGCTTCTGGTCCATCTCCTCCTGGATGGGATGTATGGGTCGCGACGTAATGTTCGGCCGCTTGGTAAGATCGGCCTTGACGTAGCCAGTCTCCGAGTCGCGCAGGTCCACGGGCTTGATGAAGGTGCCCAGTTTGCGTAGTCCCTCCTGGTGCATGCTCACCGTCTCGTCCTTGGTGATGTTCAACGGTATGCTGGTGTTGGCCAGCTGCTCCTCCTGTTTGGCAAACTCAATGAACGGCGACTTCAGGCCCAGACATATCCAGGTGGGCACACCTTGGAGTCCAGGCGGTGCTCCAGCTCCAACTCCAGCCGAGGTTCCAACTGCTCCAACTGCTCCAACTGCAACATAGTGTGTAGTCCATTGTGGTGGTGCTAGAAGCAAAACACATATTCCACGCCACAGCCACAACAACAGAAAGTGCGTATTTTTAGAGCAATTCATTATTATTATTATTGTGATTTTTCTTCCTTTTTCCCTACGCGTTTTGAGCGTTTCCAGCGATTCAGCGATTCGTGTGTGTGTGTGGAGTACCAAAAAAAAAAAAAAAAAAAATTGGTTTTTTTTTTTTTTGTTTCGTCTTTTTTTGGTTTTTCTCTTTTTTGGTCGGATTCAAGCCCGTTTGAGTCCACGAATACGAATCCGTTTTAGATGTTGCGTTTGGCTCTGGCTGCTGATTGTGGATTTCCAGTTGATGCACTCGCAGAGAGTTTGTGTTTGTAGCATAATAAAATGAGAACTGGATTTGAGCATAGTATGTATGTATACAATCAACCACAACCGGCAACAAAAGGCAACCGCGACGCAGTGTGGACCACCCTTAACGGAAATTTGTAAACAACTGAAAGAACTCGTTCCGCATTTAAGTCTTTCGTGGTCTCGAACGCAGTCCAATATTGCATGTTGCTGTCTGCGAGCAACCACCATCACCACGACCACTTATACATATTTTCGTTTTCTAGAATGTTGTGCAACATGTTGAGATGTCTGGCGATGGGACAGACCCTGTCGATAGTGTATATCGATAGCTATCGGCACACATTGACACATTTGCATAGCATGCTCTTTTATACTTTAATAGCTATATTTTGTGCTTACATGTCCAACAAATTCCCTTTGCTACATCTTTTAAACAAAAACCAATTCTATAAGCTAACCGATACTATGCCGATAGTATCGGCTGGCTATCGTTGATAACGGTATTTGTCGGGACTTGCCAACTCATACGACAGTTTTTCATTTGAATGTATGTTTCTAACAGAAGTATATATTTGTTTAAGAAAAAAATGAATACAAAAGTTAAAATAACTGCAATAGTATCGATATCCTTTCGTTAACGGTATTTTCTGGGGACTAAATTCTGATAAGTCAATACCATTTATGTATTCGTTTGATTTTAGCCAAAAAGTAGCAATTAATATTAATAAGATATTTCATTAAACTTTTGAAGTATATATTTTTATATTTGAAATAAATAAATAAATATCTATCTATCAAATATCTTATCTTTTGAACTGTAACTTCGTTAATTTGCATAAATAGTTTGTAATAAATAAATCGATATTTTAGCTTTAAGAACGGTATTTCACGGGAATTAAATAATATAATTATGAACACAAGCGGTTTTTAACATTGTAATGATTTATTTCCGGTACTTTAAAAACCCACAAATAATTGTCAATTTTCCAATTGCCTTCATCTAAAAACTTTAAAAATTTATGATCAATTTTGTGGTAGAAAATCTATCATGCGTTACTTTGCAAGTCACCTGATGTTAAACCTGCCCACTATAATTAGAAAGAGCCAAGTTAAGTACAATATCAAAATGCAAATTCATTTATTTGGCTATTTGGGCAATCACAGCCTGTTATTTACATAAAACAAATTTTTCGAAGACACTCTCTATTCGAAATACTGTTAACAATTATTTACAGGGCATCCACACTGGCCCACGGACTACGGACTACGTACTAAGTTCAATAAATAAAATCACGGAATCACGGAATCACGAAATCACTGGCAGTCCAATCTAGTGCTGCATCTTGTTGGTTTTCGCCAGGGTGAGTGAACTGCCGATGCGACGGCGATCGTAGAAGGGTTCCGGCTGGTTCAGAGCTCCGATGGCGGTGACTGCGGCAAAACTCGATCCGGCGGGCTCCTCGTACATCACATGGCCCACCTGCTGCAGATAGGAGCTGACACTGGAGTCCACCTCCTGCTCGTAGCTGACGCGCATGGGAGCCAACTGGTGGTGCAAACGGCCGTCGTTCACCGCCGACGCGAGGGTTTCGCCACGCAGCAGATACTTCATGATCACCTGGCCATTTGGAAATCCCGTTTCCATTTTAAAATTCAATCTTCAACGAAGAAACTCGTGTGAAATACTCACGGCTGCCACACTAGTGGTGATGCGGGTGCCACCTGCTGCTCCGACCAGCAGACGCACATTGCCATCCTGGTCGACCACGATGCACGGGCTCATCGAGGACATGGGCCGCTTGCCGGGATAAATGTAGTTGGCCGGGGAGGCGGGCACCCCGAAGCCATTGATCACGCCGGGCGTGGAGAAGTCGTCCATCTCGTCGTTCAGGATGATGCCCGTCTGCGGAGAGGCCACCTTGGAGCCAAAACTAAGGAGGAGTAGACGCCGAGTTAATCCAATTCAAGGTGACAAAGATATGTTGTATGAAACTATAATAATCCTGTAGCGGATCTTTTAGACTACAACCTTTGTTATTACAAAATAAATATGTTACAAGTTAAAAACTAAATATTATATAACTAAAAACAAAAAACAACGTTGTCCAAGAGTCAATCTGGTTTGATCAGAGCGTAAATAACGATATGCAACCATTCTGATCATGGATTTTTAATTTAAAAAGTCAATTGAACACTACTTTAAAATCTAACCAAAGGACTATTAAACTATAACCTACTTAATTTACATTAATAATTTCTGTTACTATAACAATGGTCTAAAAAATGTTACAAGAAGTTTGTCAGTTAAAACAGGATGCATCGATTATGTTTACATTTTTTTAAACAATTTTTCATAAATTTTTGAAATCGATAACCTTTTCTATAAACCCTTTGCGGTTAAAGTATCTTTTAGTATGTCTAGTTAACTAACAACTATAAATACAAACTAACAAAAAGCTATGAGATAATTAAAGTACTTTGTAAATTGCATCCAAACAGAGTAAACACAAATAGATAATTAATTAATTTAGGCAATTAACTTTTAATTGCATGAGAAACTCGTGGGATAAGATAATTTAATAAATTATCATTTGTACTTTTCCTACATATATTCAATTATTTAGCCAGATAAGTAATTTAAGTGTTGTCGAAATAACGAAATTGAAAACTCAAAGATTGTTAGATGAAATAAATAAATTGATAAAGACAAATAAATCACAAAGTGACTGGGGCATTATCAGTCCAAAGAACAAACAAATTGAAATTAAATAAATAATAGCAATAGTAATAAAATCATTTCACTCACTAGTTATTGATGGTGCTGGTGATGGAGACGGCATCTCCATTGGTGGCCAGGACGTTCATGTGGGCGGTGCCGTGGTCCTCCTCCACGGTAAAGTTGGCGCCATAGTCCAGATACTCCTGCGACGTCCGGTCGTCGTGGATCAGCTTCCTGATGCTCTCGAGGAACTCTGGCTGCAGCATCCGCTCCAGCGTCCCATTGATGGATTCCCCGTTCACGGGATCGGCATACATATCGCCCAGATTGGTCCGCTGGCCGTAGGCATGCTTAAAGGCCTCCACGGCGCGTTGCCAGTAGATCTCCTCGTTGTCCGTGTTCAGTTCGGACATCAGGTTGAGGATGAAGGTCAGCACCGGCCCACTGCTGGGCATGGGCGTGGAGTAGAGCGTGTAGCTGTTGCTCACATGGGCCGCCACATGGCCATCGCTCTCCCAGCGGACCTTGTAGTCGCGCAGATCCTGCTCCGTGATGGTGCCGTTCAGCGCACGGATGTCCTCGACGAACTTGCGACCCGTCTCGCCGCCATCGTAGAACTCCTTGGCCCCGTTCTCGGCGATCCGCTCCAGCGTGTCCGCCAGGGCACTGCGCTTCATGAAGTCCCCCTCCACAAAGGCCTCGCCACTTTCGTTTAGGAACACGGAGGACAGGCCGGGATCCGCCCGGATATTCGCAATCTTTTGCCGAATGGCAGAGGCCAGATAGCGCGACACAACGTGACCCTCGCGGGCCAATTTAATGGCCGGCTCGAAGAGACGTTTCCAGGGCAGGACGCCGTAGCGACGATGCATCTCCCAGTAGCCCAGAATCTCGCCGGGCACTGCGCCCGCCCAGGCGCCCGTGATCTCCGACTGGCCCACGAACATGTCCTTGTGGGCAGCCGCCGGAGCCGATTCCCTGGCAATCAGGGTCTCCACCTTGCGCGTGCTCCTTGTATAGATGACGGCCACGAAGCCACCGCCAATGCCCATCGAGTGGGGCAACAGCAGGCCCTCGCACAGGAGCGTGGCGATGGAGGCGTCCACGGCCGATCCGCCATCGGTGAGCACATCACCGCCCACGGCGGCGCATCCGATGCCGTTGGACACGACGGCTCCACTGACATACCGCCCATCCCGATCCCGCAATCCAAGGACCAGGCCCAAGGTCAAAGCCGTCACCATCACGGCCGCCAGTAGCAGCCATAGGAACAGCTTCATACTCCACACTATCCTGTAAGCATATAGAACAAGTACAAACGATCATCATCAGCCATGCGATCTGCGATCTGCGATCGTCATCACACCCTCGAGACTGAAGAGCTCGTTGGGCTGGTCAAGTGGAGTGGAGCGGTGGCGGCACTGCCGATTAGCTTTGATTTCGATTTCGACGCCGCTATCGGAATCGCCGAGTCATTAGATCGCACTCCACTCCGAAATAGGTAATACCCTGCTATATGTGTCAGTCCTATCAAGACAAAGTATATCCTTCTATTTTTGAACACTAAATAATTAAAAGGGTTTCAAAAACAACTGGCACACTGGTAAAAAAAAAAAAAAAAAAAATTATAATAATTTTAAATTAGAGTTATATAAAACGGATATCAAATAATATTATTATTCAATCTATATCCAAATTATCTTTATCTTATGATTAAATTCAATAGTTTTTCTTTAAAAAAAAAAAAAATTTTTTTTAAGATATTTATATTTGATAATACAATAATAATAATAATACAAATATCAAGTAAAACAATTGTTAAACCAAAGAGTGTCCAAGATGGATAAGATAAAAATAACATGCCAACATGATAATAGGGACTGTAATCTATGGCCATTGAAGTCCAGTTAAATCAAATTAGCCGAATCATTGCGTTCGATCCAACTGCAAACAAGGTGAATGAAAACAACTATCTCAAGAGTCAGTAGCGCCCCCATTATAAAATCCCCATCTGTGGCGTGTGAATGATTGCCCTGCTCTCTGGAGCTGGAGTGTCCCATGACAAAGGGAATTTCCGTTGTACCGAGGCAGGGCACGTCCATTTACACGTACCGGATGAGTCCGGACATACCTTCTACGGCTGGCTTATCTATATTGGAGTGTTCTCCGATAGCGGGCCATAAAAACGCCAACAGGCCAATGATCGTAAAACTCAAGCGCTATTAACAAGCAATTTTCTATAATTAACGTAGATTTATCAGGGGGGAAAGTGGCAAATATTTCTATTTAGTGCCTGTCACGGCCCAAAAATTTGGGAGCCAAATATTTGGCACCAATACGAACGATTATCGCAACCCGTCTACTGATTAAGATCCTCGAGGAGCACTTTCCAAAAACCATTTTCGTCGAATCATCCCATAAGCTTACTAACTTGATCTGCATATTATATGGTATACCAGGCTACGATAAGAGCCATCGGTTCATTCAGGTTCTTTTGACTGCCCTTACGATACGCTATATCTATAAAGTATTTTTATGGCTTTCGGTAGCATTCTATTGACTTCAAATGATCGAAAGCCGCCTGCAGTTGTTTCAATTGCTGATTGGTCCTGCGATAAGTCCGTCGGCTAGGATTAAAGCCCCTTTATCCGTCTTTATCAATGGTGGCCTTTTCGGGAATGCCAAAGTCAAAGAACTGTAAAAGTTTATGGGGATGGTCTTTGAACCAAAATTCCTTAATATATTGGGTCCACAAAATAATCATATGTGTGTGCACTTGATTATGAAGCGATCTTTAAACAACTGATAAAAAGTGATCAAATTGTTTGCGCACCTCAAGTGGCAATTGTTAAATGGCTGAGTACTTGAATGGGATCATGATATAACATTTATTAAAGGCAAAAAGTTCAGGAAGAGAATGGAAAATCTATGTATTAAGTTTTCCTAGTATGATAAAATGGAAACATTAAAATAGAAAGACCAATTTACCTAGCAAGCCGAAAAAAAGTGATCACAAGACACTTTTCGGATGCCCTATGATAAGATACAATGTGATCTTCGCTGGTATGCACAGTGAAAACATCTTTTAATTACAGAATCTATCGAAGGGGAGATCTCAGGTAAACAGCTCCAATCAGGGAACCGAAAACGAATTTCTATTTATCAGTCTGCTAGGCATTTCTGCTCCGTCATCAAAATTGAATCGCTATTGCCGCAGAGCGCACAAAAAAGTATTAAGTATAGTTCTGTGTTGACGTTACCGGGAGGAACGAAAGTCATTCTTGGCCGATTGGCAGGTGTTAATAGTAAAGTGGGTATAAATATGTAGTACGGATGGTACGGCAACTCATAGATAGAGTTTTGTGTCCAAATAAAGCCCGTGCAATTCACGGTCATTCCCACCAATAATTACGCTGCGGTTCTCATGAATTATGCAAATATCATATATACCGGGGTTATGCGCTTATTAGAAACCAGTTTTTAGCGCGTTAGCTATAAGCGTTCAACGTAATTAGCCAGCAAATCAATCCCGTAATTGTCGTATTCACAGGCACAAGCTCCACAAGTGTTTTATTCAAAACGATATCGCGTCGCATCCATAAAACAGAGCTGAATGAACGCTCTCAAAGAATTCCCGTGTTGTTCTTCGGCCGTCATAAACTTCATTCCCATTACGAGCGGCCATATCTTAGCCATGTACTATATCTTATGGGGTCTCGTAAAGCGTGGCAATCAAGCGCTAAACCCGCTAATTGCCGACTTTCGACAGCGTTTTGATAAACTGCGAACCCATCTAAAGAATGGACTTGCGCAGAACTCTTAAAACGAACTCTGGAATATCGCAAATGCGCATTTATAGTACTAATATGCACTTAAATAAGACGCCAAATATGATATATTGTAGACCAGATTTGATCTCCTAGTAATTTGAAAAATCCCTTCTTTAATTTACTTAACGATATCGTGCGAAAGAAGCTTTCACTTAGCCTGCTAATAGTCACGATCTGTTTGCTTACTCAATACTAGAAATTTACTGACTTGCGAAAATCTAATTTGGCAACTAAACTACGGGTAACACAGATACAAACTTGATGTTTCAATTATTTTTATTTTTTATTTTTCCTTTTTCGCCTTCCTTTGTACGTCAAATGCTTAATGTGACAAAACAATGTGTTCAACTTGGTTTTTGCTGACATTCATATTTACACAAGTGGAACAATGATAATTTATCGCTTCTGTGACGATGTTATTGCCTTAGCAAAAACGTGTAAAATGTTTGCAATTTCCTGACTGGCGGAACTAAAAATGATTGAATTACAAATCACATAGAAAAATAATTTCTCTATTTATCTAATTTTTAAGTTTAAAAGTTGCTAAATTTTCATCATTCATTGCTCATTGGACTCGTCATAGGTTAATCGTATAGTTAAAAAAAATAAATGAGTCCAACAATGTAGTGTTATAGGCCCATAACTGGTTTTTGACCCCTATTGAATTTCAAATGCTTTTGGGACATGATATTTGTACAAGTGAAATGCCAGGTGATCGTTTTTAATTGAAGTGTCAAGCTCCAGCTTGCATTTAATATCTATATGGGGTAGGCTATAAATTGTATATGCTTTACCTATTATAACTCAAACTTAGCTATTGAAAAGTTATTATGCAGTTTGATTGATTCAGAGATTAAAATTATTTGAAATGAGAAACATTTTAAAATACTATAACACTCTGATGTACTTTTTACAAATATAAAATACAAATTCTGTTTGCATTTTAATTGAACAAGATTTTAGGATTACTTTGTATTTGGTCCCGAATAAACTGTTTAAAATATTTTATATTATCTACGTGATTACAACTCTTAGTGTTTCAAGTTACAGAAGTCCGACTGTATTTATATCTACCGTTGTTTGTCACCATTCTTACCTCATTTTACGTGATTGCCGCAGCGAATGATATAGGTGTATTTACAAAGAGGTAAAATTTAAAAGCAAAATTGGCAAATGTTGGAAGCCTTGGCCAAAAAACACAGAAACACACAGAAAAACAACAAGTATCAAAAGCACTTAAACAAAAAATATTAACAACAGATAAAAACGAAGAAGAAGTGATCTGCGAATTTTGGGGGCCAACAATATGCCAATAATGTTCCGTTCGATTTCCAACAGCTCCCGCCTGCGAGCACCACTTTTGATCGACTGATGGCGCTAATCCGCTGGAGCTCGAGCACATCGCCTCTCTTTCGATGCTAACTGTATATTCCCTGCACACGACCCATCGAAAGAGCAAAAGAGATAGCGCTGGAGCGCTGGAACGCTGGAACAGTGGAGCTGTGGAGCTGTGGAACTGTGGAGCCTCGAAGCGAGAGACCAAAAGCGAAAGAGCGAGAGAGCGAGAGAGCGAGCAATCGGCTTTGAGCTTGACCGCCAAAGCTCGGGCAGCAAGGTAGCGCTGCTGACGCGTTGGAATCTGGCTGGAATTGGAATTGGAATTGGATTGACACCGATACACAAATATCGTATCGATTTTAGAGGCCAAACTCGATTTAAATATCGAAATTAAAGCCAACTTAAAAAAAAACTACAAACAGCATTGGCTAAAAATATAAACAAACAAAAAACAACTCCACTTTGATTCAACAAAATTTATATATAATCTTTGTTTTTGTATTAATAGCTAATAAAATTAATTTTTTTTATGAAATGTTATTTTTTATGCGTTTTTTTTATTAAATTTGAATCCATCCAAATTAATAATATATAATGCTTATTGGTATTTTATACAATTGTATTTAATCATCTATTTTATTCGTAAATTTCTTTATAATTAGATATAATCTTATCGATTTCAAAAAAATTATTTGAGTCTTTTTCCATTTTTATGTTTTAATGTTTTCTATATTATCATTATCATTTTTAAATGATTAATGGCTTATTTTTAAAACATAAAATTAATAAATCAATATTTAAAACAAAACAAGTGGCTACATATTGTTAGATCACAGATCATATATTTCCCAATTTTAACAGTTCTTAGGTTTCGATGATTACTTTTAATCATGGTATTATGATTATCTAGTATAAGACTTTGCTCATGCTATTAGAGACTTTCAATTTAGTTGTAATTGGCCGCAATAAATTGAGTGTGACTATTCAACGCCAGAGTGATTGGGTGCTGAGTAGGGCTACGTCTGCTTAACTTAACTATGTATTTTTTTTGGGTTGCAAGCGTTGGTCCAGTTGGCCGAGTGGTCGGATCGATTCTGGCCGGGATTAGCGCCAGCGCTCGTGCACCGCCGACGCCTGCAGAATGGTCTTGTGGAGCCGCTGTTGCTTCGCTTTGACGTTGGTGGTGTTCCTGTTTCCCAGCTTGCGACGATGGGAGCGTTGCGAGTGATTCGAGTGATTCGAGTGATCCGAGTGACGGGAGTGCTGGGTGCAGCGCTGGAAACTGGGCAGCGGCGCCTTCTTCTCGTGGGCCAGTTCCGTGAAGGCCAGCTTGCGGTGCTGCTGCGGCGGTATCTGCTTGCAGTTGCTCAGCTGGTGGATGTGGAGCGTGCGCTCCAGGTCGAACTTGCGGTCGCAGAACTTGCACAGACTGCCGGCGGTGCCGCTGCCCCGCTGGCGTCGTCCCCGGAAGCGGGCCTCGAAGTCATGGTCGTGGGTGTACCGATGGGCACCCAGCAGCGATCGGATGTGGAACATTGCGCCGCAAATGCGGCACGAGTAGCTGGGCAGCTGGTGATGGTGATGCTGCACATAGTTGCCCAGCTCCTGAGCACTCTCCTTGCCCTCATCCTTCAGCTGTTGGCCGGGCTTGGTCGTCGTCCCGCTGGAAGTTCGATGGGCGGCCAGCAGGGCCGCCATCTGCGCCGCCTCGGCCTCGTAATCCCGGGGCGTCAAACCATTGCGGCGCGGAGATTGCAGATACACTATTGAGAAATTATAGATTATTTAAAAAATTAAAAAGGGTGTATAAGATAATGTAATAATATTGAAGCGAATACCAACATATTATTAAATATTTTTAAAAAACAAATAATTACCACTTAAAAAAGCCACATACCAAAGTATTAAAAAAAGTTTCATATGATATTATGATCCCTAAGAACACCATATTTTATGGGTTTGTAGGTTACTGTAGTAGTATCTGAATAATAAGTTCTGTATATTTCTATACAAAATTCTATGTACTTAAGAAAACATACTTAGATTTTTTTATTTTTTAAGATGTCAGATTTATATATAAGTTCAGACGCCTACATTAAAACTAGTATATTATTTGTCTTAAGAACACCTATAGATAATGGTTATATTATGGAATATAATGTATTACTATCTGATGCTCGTAGAGATCTCTAAACAACTGTTTCTACAGATCTTTGAAAAACTTGCACTCTCTATGTCTTTAGACTTTAAATTGGATATTAAATCCGTAATACCATACTATTTCCGGCTGCATACCAAATTTGGTGACCGTAGCCTTGCTCATTGCCAAGATCACATGGAAAACCGAATCCCAAAACCGAATCACTCACCATTGTAACCACCGCGTGTCCGCTTTTCGTACGTGTCCGCTTTCTCTTGAGAGCTCGTTTCCTCCTGGACCTTGGGTGGTTTGGGTGGTTTAGGTGGCACCTGTGGTGGGGGCTTCTTGGCGTGCTTGCGTCGATGGACTCCGTGGTCAGTTGAGCCGACGCCCCCTGCCCCGCCCACTGCCGCTCCGCCCGTTCCGCGTTTCCCCGGACGGATTGGGGCGTTTGCCCGGTTGGATTCGGACAGGTAGATCAGTTTGCGTTCCACCGCCTTGCGGGCGTTCTCCACCTCCGCCGCCGCCAAGTTCTGCCCCTGAGCCTTGGGAAGGGTGTGAGTGTGGGCGTGGCGCTTGCCACGCTTCACTTTTGTGTCCTTTTGAGGCTTTTTCATCTCGCGTGTGTATGTGCTTTTTTTGTTTTCCAGCTTTAGCGCTTCAGCTCGATGTCAGTCGGTGTGAAACCAATTCTGATCCGGAGGGCTAGAATCCTGGAATGAAGTTAGCCCCATGGGGTGCTTGGGAAACTAAAAAGTGATAATCACTGTTAACATTTTTTGATAAACATTAGTAAGAGTAAAAGTATTAAAAGAAAGAGCTTTTAAATCCATTTAATTAAAAGACAAATTGTTAAATTTTGTGTGTGGTTTGAAATGCTTTTTAAATATATTTATATTTATTAAACTAAATTTAGCTTTTTAATTTTTTTTTAATATTTAAAAAGTGTTTCTAATAATTGTCATAACTTTTGAAATTGAAATATCAGCCTTATATTAATGCCATAAATCGATGGGCTATAACTTTGCAGATAATATAAAACATTTGTTTTCCGCACTATTGAAATGTACATTGAAATAGTAAGTAATATTGGTTGACTTGGATTATTCATTCGAATTCCATAAAAAAATTTATTCTTTTCAATTAAATCTATAAATAATAATTCCTTTATACATTACCCAAGTCTCAATCCATGGATTGAGTCCACGATAATCAGTATTTTCCTATTAAGAATTGACGGTCACACCGACCACCGCGTGCAGTGAACTTTTTTTTCTGCCATCGCAGAAAAAGCAGCAAAAAGCTGGAAAAAACAGCATTAATCGCCGTGTCGAGACGATTGAAACGCGCGCCCGCCTTTTGAGAGGACTGCCAACCGTTTGCCGTTTTAATTTTTGGCCCCGAATCCGGAATATGAGTGATACGCGTGAGCAGATACTGGAGCAAATCAAAGTGCAAGGCGATCTCGTCCGTCAATTGAAAACAGCGAAGGAGTCGAAGGAGAAGGTCAGTTTTTAGTTCCACTTCCAGTAGCCCCCCCCTTTCCAGTGCCATCCCGCTTTGTGTGTGTACAATGGAATAAGTGCAAAAATAATTGTTGCTGTAATTATTAACCCTGCTTTCGTCATCAAATCCAAAATGCCACTCCATATTTCATCAGATTCAAAAAAACACACACATGCTGCCTCGCTGGCATTTGGATTTGTTTGGTCATTTTTTTTTTGTTTTTTGGGGGTTTTGCAGTGTAATTAGATTGCATGCAACAACAGAAGAGTAAAGAAAGGAAATTAAAAGACCGCGCATACTTTCACATTTACATTCGTGCCAGTCTGTTGTTATTGTTGTCTCGCTCTAGCCAACAGCAAAGGGCACAGCTTCCTTTTTGCGCCAGTGTGCGTGTGTGTTCAACTCAGTGATGCCAACAATCGATTTTAAAATATAGCTTAATTAATTAAATTTTCTTTAAAAATATCGAAATTTTTTTTTTTTTAGATTACGATACATAAAGAAGACTTGCTTCTAATTAAAACGGCAAAGTGTGAAGCGCCAAAGAAAATGACAAGCTCTAGTTTAATTTTCAAAGCAAAATCCAAACAACAATCAGATATTTATGAACACAGTCTATATATTTTCTATTGGCATTTACTCTTATGAATTTAAATTGATTTATCGATAATTATCAAAATCATTGTGTGAGTTTTCGTCAAAGATTTATGTTAGAATTCGGAATTGGCTAAAATAAATAACCTCCTAAACAGCTGCTTGGCAACACTGTGTGTGTGTTCTATGACCGACTGACTGACTAAGCGAAAGACTGGTCAAACAGGAGGCATATACAAAAGGCACATGGTGGTTATAGTGATTGTATCAAAAACCTGCTAGACCACAAACCGATCCGAGATATAATGACTGCAACATGTGTTTTAGACTATAAGGAATTCGTAGCTTACGGGGCTGCCACCGATTGCAACTAAAAATGTTTCGTGATTTTTGTTTTATATATATTTTACTTTTTCTTTTAATTTATTCAATTTTTTTTTAACTGCATACATGTTTAAACCATTTTATTTTATTTTTTGTTTCTAATAATCCATAAATATTTTAAAGCACTTTTATAAAAAAAAACTGCAATACTAAAAAAAAAAATTGTTCTTAAATGTATAATGTACGTACTTTTAGATGGTTTATTGATCGTAAACAAAAGAAAATTGGTTTCCGTTAAAAAAAAACGAAGAAAAGTAGCCCAAAATTTGCATAGCAAATGGTGGGAACCCAAATGGTTGCGGGTGTGTGTATGCAATAATGGCCGCCAGGATCAGCTGTTTAACGGGAATTTACATAGCTGTGTGTGATAGTGTCCTTGAATTTTTGAGCTTCCAGCTTCCATTAAATCGCGTCACTTTCCTGTTTTTTGCGTTTCAAGTGCTAAAAAAAAAGTGTTAAATCGCAAAAACTTGTTTCCCAAACGAGGAACAACAAAAAATTCAGCGCTGACGGTCAATGGAACGCAATATTGTATTATAATCATTATTTGTTGCTTCAGCTGCACAAGTACACATACAAACACACTGTCACACTTCATTTCTTCTCACCACCAAACACAAACTAGATGTAAAATAAGCAAAAATTATTGTTGTTGTTGTTTAATTAGGTTTGAAAAGTTGCAAAAGAAAGTTAAGTTGTTGCAAAAAAAAAAAAAAGGAAAATTAAGAAAAAAGAAAAAAAAATCACATGTTGCGTTCAATTGGCCGCCAGTGGCGCTGTAGTGCTGCGTTTCAGTGTGCAACGTTCCAGACGGCGCCCTCTGGCGGCGGGCGTGCCAACTCGTCCGGCGTTCCAGCCCAACGTCAACAACAACAACAACAGCCACAAAAACAACAACAAGCACAAGAACAACAACAACAACATGAGCAACTGCTGCAGGTTAGCAACTAAGCATATTAGCCTAACCTTTTACCCCATTTGTAAGGTGTGTCCCCCATCCTCTATTGCAGATCGATGAGCAGGTGGCCCGTTTGCTGGCCTTGAAGGCCAAATTGGGTGGCGATGCCGCCCCCACCAATCAGAAGTTCACGCTGAAGACCCCGAAGGGCACCAGGGACTATGGACCCCAGCAGATGACCCTTCGCCAAGGTGTCCTCGACAAGATCGTTCAGGTCTTCAAGCGCCACGGCGGCGAGGCCATCGATACACCCGTCTTTGAACTGAAGGTGAGTTTATTAAGAGAGAGTTATAAAATAGAGTTATCAAAATCTAAAAGCTCTACTATGGTCTTAGTGGGCTACGTTCCAAGTAGTCAAAGTTATCCAAATCGAGAAGATCCTTTATAAGTTTGTGTTAAAACAGTAACAGTTATTCGAAGTTGTTGCTTGTTAATCATCAAGTGATGTTAGGATAAATATATTAGGGTTTTTAAAAGTAGACACCATTGAATAAATCCCGAAACAGAAGAACCACTTTTAAAGTTATCCAAAGGTTTCAGTTGTTTTATGGTTCCTTCTTGGGTTTAGAGTAGCTTTCGGTAGTAAGAATTCTGGTGAAACAAGATTATTATGAACATAAAAATAACTAGTCTTATAATCGTAATAGAATCATTTTTTCTACTGATCGAAATATTTGTATTAATATAAAATGTAAATTTGTATATTTTTTGGGTCTTCAAATGTGTATTTATAGAAATGCGATAGCACCAAGCTAAGCTCATGTTAGGTGATAAAGTGGCAAGTGACTTGAATACACAGTATATAGAGCTATGTTCCTTAAGAGTATTAAGAGTATTAAATGCTTTAATAGTATAGTAAAGAACTAAACCCTAGGACTTTTAGATAAGATGGTCTATAGGATATGCCCCAAAGAGCAGGCTATATCCAGTAATCAAATACTAAGTACACTCACTGATTTTTCCATTATTCCATCGCAACAGGAAGTGCTGACGGGCAAGTACGGTGAGGACTCCAAACTGATCTACGACCTGAAGGACCAGGGCGGTGAGATACTCTCGATGCGGTATGACTTGACCGTGCCGCTGGCCCGCTACCTGGCGATGAACAAGATCTCGAGCATCAAGCGCTACCACATCGCCAAGGTGTACCGCCGCGACAATCCGGCGATGACCAAGGGCCGCTATCGTGAGTTCTACCAGTGCGACTTCGACATCGCCGGCACCTACGATCCCATGCTGGCGGATGCCGAGTGCGTCAAGATCGTGGCCGAGATCCTGGACACCCTGGACATTGGCGACTATGTGATAAAGCTGAATCACCGCCAACTGTTGGACGGCATGTTCCAAGCATGTGGAGTGCCAGCGGACAGTTTCCGCACCATCTGCTCGGCGGTGGATAAGTTGGACAAGGTGAGCTCAATTCAATTCAATCGCTGGTAAATGAGCTTCGTTGACTAAAGTTCTATTGTTGTTGTCTTTCTGTTGTAGTCCTCCTGGGCGGATGTGCGCAAGGAGATGGTGACGGAGAAGGGTCTGGACGAGGCGGCAGCGGATCGAATTGGCGAGTACGTGCGTCTGAGTGGCGGTGCCGAATTGGTGGAGCTGCTGCTGAATGACGAAAAGCTGAAGGCTGTGCCGAATGCGGTGAAGGGTCTGGAAGGTATGCAGCTACTCCTAAAGTACTGCTCGATCTTTGGCCTGGACGAGCGCGTTAGCTTCGATCTGAGTCTGGCCCGGGGCCTGGACTACTACACCGGTGTGATCTATGAGGGAGTGCTCAAGGGTGAATCCGCCGTCGTGGGATCTCCGGCGAAGACGACATCGCAGCAGAACGGCGGCGAGCAGGCGAATGAGCCGGCCACCGTGGGCTCCGTGGCCGGCGGCGGTCGCTACGACAACCTGGTGGGCATGTTCGATCCGCGCGGCAAGGCTGTGCCCTGCGTGGGCGTCTCCATTGGCGTGGAGCGCATCTTCAGCGTGCTGGAGGCGCGGGCGGCTGCCAGCGGCCTGAAGCTGCGCACCAGCGACGTGGAGGTCTACGTGGCCTCCGCCCACAAGGGGCTGCACGAGCAGAGACTGAAGGTTCTGAACCAGCTCTGGGACGCGGGCGTAAAGGTGGGTTCAACCTCGAACCATGCGATTTCATACTAACACTCTACCTTCTGCGCAGGCGGAGCACTCTTACAAACTGAATCCCAAGCTGCTGGTGCAGCTGCAGCACTGCGAGGAGCACCAGATACCACTGGTGGTGGTCCTCGGCGACGCGGAGTTGGCCCAGGGATTGGTGAAGCTGCGCGAGGTGACCTCGCGTCAGGAGACCAACGTCAAGCTGGAGGATCTGGCCGCTGAAATCCGGCAACGGCAGCAGGCCGCCTAGGCTGTTCCTTTTATTTTTGTTTTCATGACACTGATATTAGCTTCCGCTCCTAATTTATGAACCACATTAAGCATCGAAGTATACAGTTTTTTTTGTCCTATTTGTACGTTTTGTATTTTTGGTGTCCTGCCGGAGGCACCGCGTGCTACTATGCTTAGGTCCACAGTGTAACCATAGGAATCATACCAAAATGAACGCTAAACAGAAACAAATAAACGCTAAAGCGACTCGCATTTAAGCCGGAAACTGTGGTTTTTCTAGGGTTCTCAATTTGGGGAATCCATTTAAAACTTAAAAATTGAAAACAAAGCTCAAGAAATATACTTGAAACCCTTATGCATAAATATTATTGGTAAAGTTACATTATTTGTAGGATATTTTTGATTTTTTTGTTTAAAATATATGAATAATGATTATTTTTGGTGCCTGATTTGGGTTAACATTTTGTTAGTTATCCAAAGAATAAATATTGCCTGAAAGTATGCCTTGAAATCAGATACCATATTCCAATAAGCATTTATCCATATACTTTCAGGCATTTGCATTATTTTTTAAGCGTTAACTATGAATCATTTTGGGTAACCAACAATTACTTAAACTTTTTAGGCATGTAAATCCTTTGTGTTTCAAACTACAAAGATTTCTGTTATATCCTTAATACTTATTCTTAATACTTATCCGATTAGTACAAGGCTTTATACTTTCAGACTTTATTTTTTAACCATGCACATTCTTTTTGTTTGAATCTACAAAGACTTCTGTTGTATCATTAAATTTTATACATGTACTAAGTATAGTTAATTCTGTGTGCACCTATAAACTTTGATTGGAAATCATATAAATAGCATATACTTTTTTTTTTCTTTAAACCTACTACTTCCGATAATAGTGATGTGTACCAACTATGGGTAGTTTCCCTGTCAATAACCTTATTGCCCGTATTAATCTCTTGCAGAACTTTAACCAGGAGTACCAGGCCACCGGTCAAGATCGGAGTCAGCATAGGGATCGGGAGGAGGCGGAGGAGCAGCGCCGGGGAGCAGCGGGCGGGGCCGTCTGAAGTGGCGGTGGCCAGCATGCCGGAGACGCTGCCCGCGACTGCGACTGCGACGGTGACGGTGACGGCGTCGAGCATCGACTGCACCGTGGCGGTGCTCAAGGTGCCCACGCCCACCCTTCAGTTGCCGGAGGTGTGCAACCTGCAGAGCCTGGGGCTCATCATGGAGCCCAACAACATCAACATCGAGCTCAATCCCGCCGCCCTCGTCACGCCCCCCGCCCTGGAGCCAGTGGGATTCAAGGTTAGTGATTCCAACTTGTATGCGGATACATTAAAGGGATAGCCTTACGGGTTATCCAGGTGTTGGAAATCCTGTGCGCACTGGTGTTGTTTCCCCAACTCTTAGGGGTAATGCCTCAAATCGCACTGGTGTCCAACGGATCAGCTGCAAATGCTAAACCATCAGCATCTGATGATCCAATTCAGCAAGGGCTGGTTCCTCTTATAGAGGTTTCAACTTATAATTTACATAAATATCAGGAATGGAACTAAAAAGTGAGGCTGTTTTTTTCCTATACACAAAAAAAGAAGAAAAGTGAGGGCCAGATTTTCAAAAAGAACTTTCTTACTTGACAACGCATTGCTCTACACTTATAAAAATGGGCCTCTCATACACAAATGTTCTCACAATGTATCAAGTGTACTCAAAAAAATCTGTATAGTTTTTTATCAAGGTCACCAAATTATTTTTTTAATAAATACAAATTTTTTCAAAGTTAGTCAAATCTTGGAACGATAAGTACTAGATTAGGTAACCTTTATGCTAATCTCAATAACTATTGGATCGGAGTCACCAAAACCCAGTATTCAGCATAAAAACATGTCTTCAGGCAATATTTTCTTTTGCTTTATCTGCTTTACAATTTTAGATATATATTTGGTTATATAACTATCCCCCTTTTTCCCGCTGTGTACCGCTTTTGGCATCTCTTAATTTAATTATGCACAGCACTGAAATGTCAAGCGGTTCGCGGCTGCTCATCGCCTCGTTTTTACACTCGAACTGAGTCCTGATTGAGGCTGTCCCCGCATTTCTCATGCTTCAGTGCGTGCAATTTGATGGCAAGTTGCCAGGACGGAGGGGTGGTTGGGCAGTGGGGGGGTGGCAGAGGGTGGCAGGGCCGCTCCTCATTCAAATGACCCAACGCGACGACGGACTGGTTCTGATACTGATTCTGATTCTGATTCTGACAGGCGCCGCCACAGAGATCTCTGCCGGCTAATACAGTTTTAATATGAAATTTCGTTTCGTTTCAACGATTGTCCAACAATTTGTTGTTGTGTCTATGCTGCTGCCGCTGACATGTCACTGCGATGAATTTGAAGGTTGCCAGGGGTCGCACAGTGGGCTGACATGGCCAAAAATCGAAATTGATCCTTAGAAAAAAATGTATTTACTTTAAAATTCTTTAAATTTATCTAATACCATTTATTTACATAAAAACTCGTTTAACAAACATGGAAAAAAACTATAAGTAAAGGGTGCAAAAAATCTTGCTAAATACCACGAAGATACATATTTTGTATCAATAACTTTTTCTAGTTTCCAATATTTGGTATAAATCTCAACTTAAAAATGTTATTTAGGGAAATTAAATTTTTGTAAGGTAAATAAAAATTTTGTAAAACCAATTAATCAAAATATTTTTATTATATATATTATTATTAAAGAAGCGATTTTTTTTATTCCTAGCAACTAATCTATTTAACCCCAAGGAACAAGAAATGTTCCACTGTTCGGAGTGGCTGACGGTGGCAGTGGTGGTGGTGGTGGGATTGCAGTGGATTGTGTTGGGCTAGGATTTCGAGGTTTGCCCTTGGTAGCTCGGCCTGAAGTGAACCCCGTGTGCATGTTTTCGTGTGTGCAGTGATTTGTTTCAGGGGAAATCAGGGGAATCCGGGATCCGGGATCCGGGAAGAGGGTGCACTTCAGAGGGCGACTGATATCATTCAATGCTTCTAATTTACGGATTAATGAAGGCGCAACTTTACATATGGAAATGCTCGTTGCGCGGCGGCGATCGTGGGAAGCGATTAGAGCGGTGCGGTGGTTTGGTATAGTTCGGTTTGGTTTGCTTCAGTTTGCTTTAGTTTGGTGGTGCGAAGAGAGGTCCCTTTTAAAATCGCCCGTCGCATTGGCATTGATGGATTGCCCCATAAATTTGTGATTTGCTAAGCTCGACTGCCATTTTCCAGTCCAGCCGATCACAAAGTCAATTTGTATGAATATTTATGGGGAGGTGTTTAACTTTTAATGTGTGTGGGAGTGTGGAAAAGTCTCGGCCAGTTGCGAGGTCAGTTATTAAAGTATTTTATCATTGACCAACAGGACATAAATGTCCATAAATCTTAGCTCAGATCCGATTTAAGGGCTTTTATCTTTAATAAGTTGAAATCCTTTGGGAGGAGTACCCTTCACCATCTTTCATATAGATGAAATCTATGTGCCAAACTAAGCTTCAATTTTCCAATTCACAGTTCAGCGGCTTGGCAATAAATTAACGTCCAATATAGTGGGATATTATTATAAGGGGTGTTAGATCATCAAAGAAGTAGATAAAACCCTTTAATATGTTAGCTAAATATAAACTATATAGTACAAAAAGAGTTCTTATTAATAAGTGTTGGTTTGTGCCATAAAGGATTGTCACTACAGGGTGCCTGGGCAACATATCCTCTTCCTACGTCAAAGTATCCTGCCTGCAGGGCAACCCGCAAACAAACACTAATAATATTAATAACGATTATCGCCCGATGAAAATGAATGTGGCTCAGAATCGGATTCAGAGTCATAAATACACGGTGCTCACTCACTCACCTCATTCATCCGTTCAGCCGGTCCATTCATCGATAGTATCTCTGCTCCGGAGAGATCCGGCTGAGCCGAGGAGGAGATCCGGGGGGCAGAGCCACGCGACGGCAGTTGCTTATCGCGGGTGACCAGAGAATCGCCACGTGCGATTTCATTGCCAATTCCATTCATAGTTCGACCAGCTCATGTGTGCGACTGAATGGGTGATGGCTACTGCCAAGGGCACATAGCTAGAGCCAAAAAATATCATATTTTAACTGTTTTTGGAACAAATAATACAGCATTTTCAAACACTGAAATTAAAGAGGGTGTCTCATGTGTGTTTATAAAATTAAATTTAAATTTAAACATAAAAAACAGTATTTTAAAATGCAGGAATTCAACATGTTGTTAATAAACATTTAATTTCAAATAAAAGCATAAACAAAATAATTTATTTATTACCTTCTAAATGTTTATTTTTGATACTTAAAAAACTTTTTTATTTTTATAAAAACTCAAAAAAAATCGATTGATCTTAATTTTTAAAATCATCGAAAACTGTATGTTATGTTTATGTTTAAGCCTATTTCGAATCGAATTGAATTTATTTCAATGGACTTTTGGGTGCTACATTCCTGCCCTCGGCTGTGAGCAACCCGTAGCAAGTTGTGGGAAATCGGCAGGGGATTGGAAGCGGTAACAAAGACAGCGAGCGGGACCAGCAAATTTGCGTGCAATCGTTTGGCCTGCGTTTTTAATGACTTTTTCGACTCGACCCCGTATTTTTCCCTTCCCCCTTCCCCCCAAGGGCAATGCATTTAATTCGATTATGAGACGCGGAGTTCCTTGGCTTGGTATAATATTTTTGGTGGTGGTTACTTTGTGAAAAGTAATTGAAACTCTGGCTTTGGCTTGGCTGGCTTGGTTGGCTTGGTTGGCTGTAAGTGGAACGCAGCCAGCCGCCCCTGTCCAACGCCATCTTCACATCTTCACGTGCGACGGAGTACAACTAATGTGGGTGTTAACGGTGTGTTAAGTGATTTCGCCATTTGTTGTAGGATCGATCCGAACAATTCCAATTGCCCGACTTCGACTTCGACGTCGACGTCGATGGCGACGACACCCGATAAGTATCGCGGTCTTTGGGCTACGGAGCACTTGGCACACGCGTTTCGCACATATTTCAAGCGCTTTTCAGGGCGGGCTGAACTTTTCATTTCCGCTTTAAAATGGATAAAGGCAATTGCACAAATGTATCGACTTACAATGCATGCCGCCTTTATTGGCTGTATTATATTAAGGGATTGAAAGAGCGACTTTAAAATATAATTCCCTTTTTCTAACCCCGGAAATTGGTATCCATAGTTCTTTAGAGAACCAGAGAAACTTGCTATGAATTTGGGGGAAATTTGTTGTTATATTTTTAAAACCCAACAGTCCAACATGATTATTATATTATGAACTAGGCATTAATAAAAAATCCTAAAAATAGTCGAAATATTATGGTTTTAATTATGGATTTTGTATATCCATATTAGCAACGTCCCAACTCGAGTGTCCCGAAACTCGTTAATGGGTTAATTTAAAGGTGCAATTTATCTCTGCCCACCAAGTGTCGTCCCTTGTCGCCACTACCCCTGTTTCTCATATATATTTTTTTTTTGGTTGGTTTTTGGACCCTTTCCGACAGCCGGCTAATGAAAACTAAAAACTTCAATTACCAAAAGAGCCAAATAATGCGTTTTTAAACCCAAAAATGTAAGAGTTAAGAGCAGAGCGCCCAAGAAATTGTGATAGATGAGGGTTTTGGCTTGGCAATGTTTTTTACGGGCCACTTGTTCGTGACCCTGCTTTCTGCTTTCTAAACAAAGAGTGACCAGAAAGGCGCAACAGCAACAACAACAACAACAACAATAACAACAACAACCAAAAGAAAATGGCAATAAATCAGGGTAAATAACACACAAGTACCGAGAGTTACGGGGGCGCCATGAAAGGGTATTTCGCCCGAAATTTCCCAATGGGGTGATTATTTAAAATTGTGCAACGCATAAATAGAAGTCAAAGTTGGCAAAAGAGGCAGCAGATGTGGGACTCGAGCTCTGGTCCGATATCTGTTGTTGCTCCGCTTGTAATTGTGTTTTTTGGCTTATTGCCGTTGCCCAAAATATGTACATTGGGGAAATAAAACAAGGAGCAATCGATATGTCCGCAATCAGATAAGGATCAGTGCAGAAAATTCAAAGAAGTTATGTTTTTTATATTTTTCAGATTTTTTGATGGGTCAGAGCTTGAAATATTTATTTAAAAACTATTCAATAGAAGAACATGGGGTCATTTCCATGCAATAAAATATACATTAAAAAAAAAGGGAAATTAAATTTGTTAATGAATAAATAAAAATCTTATTACATGTACTAAAAACTTAATGAGAATCAAATTAAATTTGTATATGTGTGAAACAATATGCATTAAGTTGAACGTGATTATACATATATGGCAATTATTCTTAATGTTCAAATGCTGTGGTTTTGAATAGGTCAAAGTTCATTATGTAAGGATTTATTCAAAATTCGGCCACACTACAATGAATAAGGGGTACGATCATTTTGCCTGGTTTGAAACCAAATGAAAAGGGTGGGAAAGGATCAGCTGATTTGATATCGATATACAGTCCAAAGTCCAAAGTGTATAAAAGTAAAGCTCGCAAGATGCCGCAAGTGAAATCCCCGCCAGAAACTGGAGCAGGATCTCCCGAGGAAACCTCGACTGCGGCAGTGGCGGCGGATGCCAGTGAAACGGAGCGCCTGGTGAAGCTGGTGATGGCCATGGGTTATCCCGAGGGCGAGGTCCGCCTTTCGCTAGCCCGTAGCAACAACAACGTACAGCGGGCGGTACAGATTTTGGTCGAAGGAGAGGATGACGGTGAATCCCGGAAACGGCGTCATAGTCGCCAGCGTTTGAAGCAGTTGCGCAGCTCCCTTTTGGGACAACCCCTGGCCACGGACGACACCATCGTCCAGATGATGCGGGATCAGAGGATGGCACAAACCCTGCGCGAGATGGTCAACGAGAGCAGCGTGGAGGTCATGCAACTGCTGCTCGCGGAGGAGGAGCAGGAGGTGGAGGACTTTGACGAGGGACAGGAGGAGGAGCAGGTGTCCCAAGAGGAGCTGGGAAGCTCCATGGAGCAGGCATCTTCATCCGCCGAGAACTCGCCATCAAGCAACTAATTCAAATATAGATGTTACTATCGCTTTTTAACTCAACTGGTATCGTTTTTTGGAACTGCATACCTTGAAAAACGCTTTAAGTTAGTACCGTTTTAAGTTAGTAATTGAAGAGTTCTTAAGTTTTTTTTTCATAATTTAAATATTTAAAACACCTCAATGTAAAAAAATGGTGTCCAAAGGTTAAGTCTTTTGTTTGTAATAAAACCTTAAAAAATAAGAGTTCAATTTTGAATACCACCTCAATGAATTTGGTTTAAAGATAAAGCTTATAAACGTTTTCTTCTAAGTCTAAGACCTAGATATTACTTTATTCAAAACACTTACAATTTCTTGAGAGTTAAAAATATGGTTGATTCTAATGTGTGAACTTAAAAAAGAACATGTTTCTAAAAATTATTAAAAAAAAAAAACAGTACTGTTTTTAAAAACAAAATCAAATGCTGGTATACACCCCTTTTTATGATGATAATAACCCTATTATTATCGAAAAGGAGTCTATAAAATCGGAGCTCCTTTAGGATGATATTACCTGGTGCGAGTACTGGTGTCTCTCGAATTTATTTATTTATCCAGCAGCCATCAGGAGACATTAAATGCATTAGGGTTACGCAACCCCCAGGCCCTTTGTTGTTGTTGCTGGTGTTGTTTTGGCGGATGTGACTCCGGTCAAGGAGCGGAAGAGGCCGGAACTCAAAAGCAACAGCAGCAACCCTGTGGCAATAGCAATGCGCAGCTTGTCAACCCTTTTCGCCTCGATGATTAATGATCGCTCTTTTTCTTTTTCTGTTGTGTGTTCCAGTGTTTTGTACTGATTTCAATTTACCGCTTTTGCTCAAAGTTCCATTGGAGTAGATTGGGCCATAGTGCATCCATCCCCTTGGTTTTTTTTTCGTCCAGCGAGGGGAAAGGGTATTTCGCCGTTGAAAAATTCTAATTAATTTTGACTTGCAACCGTTGACACTGTCAACCGCAGCCACGTAACCCACCCAGCGTTTATCGCGTTTGATCGGCGTTGCGGCGCACCGCAAACTGCAGAAGGCGAAGGCGAAGGCGAAGGCGTCAACCCCTGGACGTCCGACGTCCGATTCTCGGTACCCCGGTACCCCGGTACTGGGAACTAGAGGCGTAGGCGTCGCCGTCTCATTTATCAAGGGCAGGCAACTGTCGCCGCTTTTGGGTCTGTTTGGAGCTAAGATTGCGCGGGTTAAGTCAGATTGCACAGTGCCAAAGTTACGAAAAGGAATCACTTAGCTTCTGTCGTTCATTTTTATACCATTTGATTTGAATTCGCGATATCTTTATAATATTAAACTACTGATGGTGTTTTTAAATCAACTAGAAAATTCTATAAAAATGGATAAGATATTCACACCTTGTTCTAAGTTGTGATCTATCTAAACGCAATAGAATACGAATCTTATGTTCGTATAAATAAAATTTCTTGCGTTGCTTTGATACCATTTAATTTTAAGGGGAGATTATATCTTAATCTAATTATGGTGTTTAAATATCAGTTGGAAAATTCTTTTCAAATTATAAGTTTTAATTAAACATATAACTTTTTCTGATCACATAATCTTTTTTTTAAGAGAAGCCTGTTCTGATCCTAAAATAAGATCGCCTTTAATAACTTCAATCTACCTCAGATTTTCGAAATGTATCCTTTTCTACTTTTCGCCTTTGAAAGTAAGAACCCCATAATGTAGCTAGAAGACCCATTTCATCACGTTCGATAACGCCCAATTAGATCGGTTTTTTTTTCCCTCGTGCGGTTCAAGTTTGGTTCGGGTTCGCTGGACTTTAAAATGCAATTGTCACGGGCCGTAAATTAGATGTGGAAAAGTCCGTAATTCGATACTGCGATGACGTCGCTCTGACAATGGCATGCAATCAGCCCTGGTTGTCTGCCCATTACCTTTGCCGTTATGCCCGTACCGCTGCTTGTTAGCCTCGTTTGCATATTTGTGGGAGGGGGTCGAAGGGGCGTGGCCTTATCAATATGTTGACAACAAGCCGGCAATAATAATTGCAATAACAATTTGCAGCGCGAACCAAAGAAGCGTGCGAAATGTGTCAAAAGGGAGAGGTATGCGGAAAGGGTTACGATCCAGTAAAAAACTGGTAGCAGCAACTCAAGACCTCTCGTTATTTATGGATGTTGCCTCGGCGATCAGTTAAATGGCTTGTTAAAGTAATTTCCTATGCAAATGAGGGCGAAGATATGACAAACGGAGACAGCCTGGGAGCCCCTAATCCCTGGCAGAAGTGCCCGCCAATCGATAACCGCATCCGAGAGTCCGAGAGTCCTGCCACAGGATATATGTATGTACGAATGTACATACTATATACTATATAGCATATGTATGCATGCAAATCGAACCGCAGCTCAGATTCAAGTGGACCCCAGGAAGAAGGGGGGGGGAAACATTGAGCTGTGCTCACTTTTTATTTGCTCAAGCGCTTAATTGTGTAAAAAAGGACCGATGATAGTCCTGCCGCAGGAGCGACGGGACTCACAAACAGAAGGAGCAGCTGCCGAGGGCTGCCAATTAATAGATGGAAATGGATTTGCGTAAGAAATATGCGTTGCCATTTCCATAGCCCAACAATGGAGAGCGAGCGAACCAGAGACAATTAGGCAATTATTTGCGCAAAGGATCAAAACCAAAACAAAAAGCCTTGCCACCCATTCACCACCCATTCACCACCCATCCACCCTCTGACCCTCTTTCCGTTTTGTGGGAAAGCGCTCAATGTGTCCATGGGTTCGGTTGTTTGGTATGGTATTGCCCCTGCTCGCCCGTGTGTTCCAAATTCCGAAGCCAAGGAAGATGAGCAATGCCAGCCGAGGTGACCAGATGGTTGCTGATTTAGCCATTTTTCAGGTGCGATCTGGCTTTTTTTTTAAGATTAATCGTCTTGACTTAAAAAAACTTTGTTTTAATGTGCCATGTTTTTAAATGTTAGTACTAACTAGTACATCGTTACTACATTGATCAGCATTGACATTCTTGTATATTTTTTGACCCAATTTTGGATAAACATTGAATATTTAAAAGAAAATGTTTGATAAATTGTTTCTGTTTAAAATCCACTATCTGTTTTTTATGTGACCTCGAACAGGTGTTCAAGACTTGAAATTATGTGAATTTGGAATATATTTTGTTTAGCAATTTAAAATATTAACAATTTAAAATATGTGAAATTTTTTTTAAAACACCAATTAACATTCTAAATATTTCTTCATTTTGTATATACTTTTTTTGAAAAGTTTGCGAGAAATAGGCTTTCACCTTGCTTTTTGGCTTAAAATGTGGATATTTAGCTATTGGCTGGTTGACATCACTGACGGGAGCACAGCTTAGGTGAATTATTTGGGGTGGGGAAGGCGTTGGGTTTCGTTTGGAGTTTGCTTGGACCCGTTGCTTTTAATTGAACATGAGCAATTAGCGTGCAATTTGTTTCGCTCGCGAATGTGAACCAACGGTAAAATGGGGCAGCTCCCTGGCCCCTCAACCGCACCACCCCCCTACACCCACCGGTGTGCCACGTGCTTTTTTGTGTGTGTGTGTGTGTGTGTGTGTGTGTCTCTTGCCAAGAAACGCACTTGAGCAGAATTAATTTTAAATGCGGCTCTGCACGCGGCTAAGTGATTATGTCGTGAGCAGAAAGAGCGAAGCCATTCGAGTTAGAAGCTGAAGCTGGCCATTCAACCACCATCATCCATTCGCCACCCACCCACAGTCCACCCCCTGTGTTCTCCACTCAGTTGCTCGCATGTTTAATTATAATTAAAAAGCACAGCATCTCCAGCATTTCCAGCAGCCCACACCAATGGCACATCCTTCAGGCTAACCTGATCCATAAACATTAAAATGGTTAATTGAGTGCTTAGTGTGTCCTTACCACCCTCCGTCCACTCTGAGTGCAGCCTAATATTAATTATTTTAATTGAAATGTTCATTATTTTACATCTAATTTAGCGCTAGGTGCGTGTGCCACTGATCTCCCCCACTGGTCATTCCCACATGCTGGAACCCAGGCACAGTGGGGCCGCACAGTGGGCACTTAAAATCATAACAAATGTGTGTTTTAAAGATTGTCATTTTATTTAAATATTTGTATAAACTTTATAGCAAAGCTTTACAACTTGAAACTTTGAAATAGCTTACATTTTACTGATGTTTGGGTCAAGGGTGTTTAATCTTAGAGTTGTTTATACAATTGATATTCGGTAGGGCTTAACAAGTTTATTATGTAGAAAGAAACTTGACATACCGAATACTGCTTCCTTGCTCTTAATGCTCAATAGTACTTACCTCTTTTAGTCTTTCCGATTTGTTCCACTGTGCCTGTCTGTACGATGTACAATTCTTTTTATTTTTGGCCTGTTTTTTTGGGGTTGTTGCAGCAGTTTGACGCGGGGTTTATTATAAATTTTTAATTGGCTTTTTATGTATGAATAATGCCTGCACCCCGGCACCCCTGCCCCTCCCCCTTCGGCCGCCTGTGGAGTTGAGTTGGTGCCACCAGTAGAGACGCTCCTTTCTCTCACGAGGATGGGGTAGTTCGGCGAATCATTTATGCAGTTAAATCATTGTGCGCAAAAAAAAAAACAACTCAATATCACATGGATATGGAGATGTTAAATTAAGTTGAACGCCACTTTATTATTATTATTTTAGACGACTTAATAGGTTGAGGTTCTAAAAGACAGAGGTCAAACACCACCGCTGCCCAATACATTTTTATTTGATATTTTATTAAATTAAATTAAATATTTTGTAATATTACTCATTGTAATTGCATCACAACTATATATCAGTTTTTGTTTTATTATCAATAGACTGTTGAAATATTCCTTTTATAATATCGATTCTACACATCAAAGTCTGTTGAACTCGTTTTATTTTCTTGGGAGATAATAGTTCGACTTGGGGACTGAATCTACAACTAGTAGATGATCATTCAATTGATCAATAATTTCATGACTTTTTCTTTCTGTGAGCGAATTAGTGACGGTGAAAAAGGGTTGAATCGCGGGCGGGTGGGGGTTAAAAATCGTCATTCGGAGTTGTCACAAAGGAAACTATCCGGAAGCTCCACCTACCGAACACAACAACAACAACATCGCACAGGTGCGCCTACGCAGGTGGGCTAATAACAGCGCCTTAACAGAGCAACCCTCTGCCGCACCTGTGTGATAGGCGGTCGGCGTCCAGGAGCGGCGTCCAATGGCAGAGCAGGGCCCCCAAGAAAAAAGCAGCCCCAACGAGAAAGAGCGGAAACAACCCTAGCGAAAAGCCCACAGAGAGAGGGAGCGAGCGAGTGAGAGAGAGCGGAAAAAGCCGGTGAAAGGCGAGAGCGTGAGCGGGAGAGAGCAACGCACCGGCGAGAGAGGGAGAGAGAGAGCGCGCGCTGTCGACGG